AATGTATACAAAATAACCTCCAAAAGCGGATATTTTTTTACGTTCTCGTTGTAACTTTTCCGAAATAAAAGTTAAAATTGCATGTGGCTCCATCTGTTATGAGATCTTTTTTATAATTTATTAATTATTATAAAATGGAAAAATGCTTAATTTTGAGGGTAGAGACGTGTTTTATTTAAAAACAAATTGTAAATGTTAATAACGAGTAAAAAAACCTTCGTTAAGTCCGACCCCACGCGAGATATGATACGCGACTCCTCTTCTCCCACCCCCTCGACCTTTAACCTCCAAAATGTAATGGCATCAATTTCTTTAACACACAAACCTCCCTGCAAAATTTCAGAAATTTTCGACAGAAGGCCCAGGAGTTATTAAGCTTCAAATTGGGTGCCCCGAACACACTAACATATAAAAAACTCCATATTTTTGCCAAAATTTCTGGACATTTCAAGGTCTCCCGAGTCCAAAAATGTAAAAATCTTCGGGGGGGGTCCTTTTTTTTGACCGATTGCCATACATTCCCTCTGTTGTATAAGTAAAATGGACGTTGTTTGGAGGTTATAACGTGTATCTATATTTTTATTATTTTAAAAGTAATTGATACAGTAAAACCTGTTCAAAACGGAACCTTAATAAAACGGAAACCTGCCAAACCGTGCGAGTCCGCTTTATACGGGTTTTATTGTAATATACTTTTAGTTATGATTTTCTTACCAGTATTTACACAGCTCTTAAAATAACTGAAGGGTTTCATTGAATTCGTACAGCTCCTTCAAACCTGTCCAAAGCAGAACCTTTATAAAACGGAAACCCGTCTAAACGGGAAGAACTCTTCGAAATTGCAGCGATTTTCAGCGTTAAAAAAACCCCTGTTAAATACGGAAACCTGCCAAACCGTGTGAGAGTCCGGCTTACACAGGTTTTACTGTATAGTATTTCATTTATATTTTATAATATTGGACTTCTAAATAGCCTTTATAACTGTACAGAAGTTACTCAATTAATTCAACGAATCGATTAATTAGTAATTAGACTTGTTTAATGTTTGTCTGAAGCTTCAAAGAGACGTAATTTTCGAATTTTAGTTTAAAATTCTGTTTAATTTTTAAATATTAATGTAGAAAAGTTTATTATTATTACAGTATTTTAGTATATTCTACATCATTGTTTTTACTTCGTAAATTAGTTTTTAAGAGTAAGAATTTTATAGCAATTTTAACACGTTTATAGGTTAAAAAAAAAAAATAGTTAGCTTTCACTCCAGTTTAGGAGCCAGTCCGTCTGTCTGGCGACTCGATAACTGTCATTACAAGAAACTAAGTGAAATTAAATTTAACTCAAGATGGGGGAGTGAATTATGACATATTTCTACCTATTCTGTCAAAGAATAACTTGATGTCTGTCCATCAAAATTGATCGTGGGCTTTCAGATGGATCTTATAAGAACATCTCCCTTTAAAAAATAGGAAATCAGAAACATCTGTTAGTCAATTTGGGAGTTTTATACACGTTATCAAAATCCATCCGGGCTTAAAGTTTGGAGATGGATCGATAATTATAAAAATAGTTGATGAAAATTTCGATCGGGTTACAAAAAAATCGGGTTAAAGTACTATATATCGAGGTTAACTGATTTTTGGACCACCCAGGATTACGTGCCATAAGAATAAGATACTTGGGACCTTCTATACTCTCTTCTGACGTGACACTCCCTTTAAGTTAAAGCCTTTAAAGGCTTTAATTTAAAGGGCATAAAGATGCCCTTTAAGATTTTTATAATTATTACTCAATACTCTAANAGGCTTTAATTTAAAGGGCATAAAGATGCCCTTTAAGATTTTTATAATTATAGTTTTAATATATAGGCTTATATATATATATATATATACACGGGCCTTAGCCTGTGTGTTACGTTATTCTAATTTTACTTTTTAAAATTAATTTTTAACGTTTAATTTGTCTAAATTTACGAAAATATATTACGTAAGAGCGTAATATAATGGCTTAAAAAATGGTTTTATCGAGTTTTTAAAATATATTTATTTATATTTTTATATTTTAATACATATTATTATAATTTATAACGATTTTCTACTGTAGATATATGGAAATATTTGCTGCAGAACTTATTTAAAACGTATGTAATCAATAATTCGATAAACACAGTATATCCTATATTGACCTTAAGTATGGCATCTTCCTTTAAATAACTGATCTAAATAAGAACTTCCTCTATATTAAAAATGACGAATGATAAATCAAAAAAGAATTTATGAATAATATTTAAATTTTAAATTTATTCTTTTATATTTTATCTATAAAGAAAGGCAAAGATATCTATAATTTAGAAATGGACAAGTCGGCCATATTGTGTCATACATTTTATTTGATTTTATAAACTTTTATGTTGGTTTTTATGTTTATAACTGTAAAATAGTATATGTATTACATTTATAACAATATAATGTTATAAATAGTGAATTATTAAAAGGTTAAACGTATAAAGAATAAGTTATTGAAGCCAATATTGATGTTAGGTCAGCCACTAAATGAATTGTTCAGTCTAACTGTTGAACCGAAGACTTATTGAAAATCAATAGTTACAACAATCTTTCGATGTAGCAGTTGTTGCAACAATTGTCAAGGATATTGGGCGAGGCTAACGTCATTTATGTTATAATTGATGTCGTTGTTAATCTACATACATCACTTTAGTTATAGATACTATAAAACGGCTTTAGCTAAACGTAGATTAATGACTGAATTCTCATTAAATTGTTAGAAATATGTCTTGTTAGAAAGCCGAAAAATGGATCCAACATTTTTCGTATGAGATAGGGATAATTTATAACACTCATTCGTTACGACAATCTCAGCTTATAGCTCGAAAAGTCATTATGAGATCGGCAATATCTACAAAACTGATTACGCTTAACTTAACAATATTTTCATATTTAAATATGGGATAAATTCTCTTTCAGTTGCTCATAAATAACAATTATAAATTACGTTATTCCATCCATGTTCCTAATTTACAAAAGTTATTCAAGTTACAGAGTTTTAAATGATTGAAAATTCAAGTTTTAAAATGGATTGGATTGGATGAGGCAATGTAATACTTGTACGATATGCCAAGGGAGTGGGATGCCTCTTAGGAGGACTTTTACAGGAAACTAGCACTTATTTATGTGAAGAAAACTCAGAAAACTCCACGCAGCCAACATTGATGAGGCGTGAACCCGCGACTGATCAATGTTTAGTGGTTTTTATTCTCTGGTAGTGATGAATCGGGAGAACTTCCTATAGGAAACTGACCCTTATTTAGATGTTAGGCACACGAAGAAAACCCGGAAACACCACGTGGCCAGCCTTAATGAGGCATAGCCATTATGAACTAAATTATGCAGCCATTGCTCCGTAATCCAGTTCATAATTGCAATTTAAAATCGGAATATAACCCTCACCCCATTTAAATCGTATAAAAAACATGAGTATTTTTTATGTAAATATGGTAAATAAAAAAATAAAATAAAATAAAATACACGTATTAACCGAATATACGAAATTACCATTTAAATTTTATAAAAGAATGTTTAATAATTTACATAAAGAAACATTAAATTTTTTTTAAATGTATAAAATATAAAAGAAATTTTAAATTGAGAAAACAGGAAAAATTCCTGTTACAGTTTTGAAAATTTAAAATTTCCTATTTCCTTTTTTTATTTTTCTTTTATGAATTTTTAAAGAATTTGTTACATTCATCTTGTTTTTTTTTTATATTTTTAAAGGATTTGTTTGAAGTACAATGAATGGTGACTTACTATAAGAAAAATTCTCTGTTTACTACAAAGAAATATTTCTTATTTTGAATTAAACTACTTTAAAAGATTAAAGTTTATAAAATAAATATTACAAAAAAAGACTATTTTGGCCATTAAATTTATATTTTAAAATGAAATTACAAACAATATATTTTTATATTGGCTCTATTGGTTTAGATATATCTGTAAGAGAATGTTGTTTTTCCTGATTTTCTTTTCCTTTTTTTTTAAATAAAGAAAATCAATTGCACTTCCATTTAAAGTGCCAGTCTTGTTGAAAGTTTTAATCTTATATTTTTGTTGTTGCTGATGGAAAAAAACAATAATTTAATAATATCAAAACTTCTTCAAGAAGTACTCTTCTTAATTTTTAGTTTATAAATATACAATAGTACTCTACATTAAGGCCCTATCAGATTGTGATCAGTAGGTTCTCCTTTCTGATAGGCCCTACTGTATAATAGTTTAATTAAATAGGACATACTGTATAATGTTGTATAATAACTTGTAATAAGTAGGGCCTACTGTATAATACTTTAAATAGGGCATACTATATTATGTATTATATTCTATTTAAACTATTATATAGTAGGCCCTATTTATTACAAATTATACAGCATTATGTAGTGTATATATAGTGCTGTATACTAATTTATAACAAATGCTTTGAGGTCCTCCTGTTTTAAAATATTTGTTACAAATTATTCATGACATTATATCCTTGTATATTAAGAAAACACAGTTTTGTTTTGTTTTAATACAGTAGAGGCCTCAAAAAAAAGTAAATAGTCTGAACCTCTCTTGAGATCTGAGAGGTCCTACTGTATAATTAAAATATTATATAAGTTTTTAAATAATTTAATTATTATTAAAAGAATTTAAAGTAATTTAAAATGGTGAGATAGAAGAAATGGTATGTTTGCTGAAAGAATTCACAAATGATTGGAAAAGAGTAGATTTATAAGGATGAGGAATTTTGGAAATCTGCATCTTATATATTTTGGAATTTATATAATGGAATGCATTAGTGAGATTAACGATTTGGAAATTCTTTTACTAGGTTCTAGTACCTTGTAAATAAAGCTAAATGGTTGAGGATTGTTGGCTTCATGGCTTGATATATGTAAACTTTTTATGCTATTTTTTAAATTATCCATTGGTTTTTATATACAGTAAAACCTTTCTAAACCGGACCTGGCATGGTACGAATACTTTTTCCGGTTTGGCAGGTTTCCGCTTTAAACAGGGATTTTTTGTAAAGCTCCCTTACGAAGAATTCTTCCCATTTAGGCAGGTACTAAGGTTCCGTCTTAAACAGTTTTTTTAGCATAGTAAATCACCGTTTCGAAGAATTCTTCCGGTTTAGGCAGGTTTCCGTTTTTATAAGGTTCCGTTTTGAAGAAATTTATACTGTTTACAGAGATTTCTTTAGGGTATCCCGCGTGAAACGCCTAAAATTATTTAGTTTCAATTAAATTTCTCGTGTTTAATTCTATTGTTTCCAAGTCTTTAGGCATTTTAGAACTGAATTACATTTAGATATTCTATTAATATTCTGGTCTATATCACGAATGTCTGATATATAATTTGTTGGCAACTTGACCATTTCATTCCTTGTTTTTCTATGGATAACTCCGTGTGTGCCAGACAATTTTTTCTTCCCGAATTTAGTACTGTGAACGTTTTGTATCGGGAATACCAATGTCAAGTTTACAAATTTTATAAATATTTACCAGCTTTCAGATTTTTCTTATGATGTTTCGTCTGTAAGTATTGCTTGCTCTATGCATAATTTATGTCCTTTCGTAGCGGAATTTGTTTCTTGTAACTTGTTTATCTAGACGTAGCCTATATTTTGCTTCTAGAATGTAATTTTGTACATAATTTATGCTTCTAGAATGTAATTCTATACGTAATTTATGCTTCTAGAATGTAATTCTATACGTAATTTATGCTTCTAGAATGTAATTTTATACGTAATTTATGCTTATAGAATGTAATTCTCTACGTAATTTATGCTTCTAGAATGTAATTCTCTACGTAATTTATGCTTCTAGAATGTAATTCTATACGTAATTTATGCTTCTAGAATGTAATTCTCTACGTAATTTATGTAGAATGTAATTCTATACGTAATTTATGCTCCTAGAATGTAATTCTGCATGTAATTTATGCTTCTAGAGTGCAATCTCTCAGCCACGAATAATTTGCACTCATACTTAAGCTCTTCTATTTTAAATTATGCTTTCATGCAGCTGCAAATTTTTAATTTGCAACTATTTATAGATAATGGCGTAAACTATAAGCGAATTTTTTACATAATTACTTCATTTTTTAAAGAGAAAATATCAAATTTATGATAAATATTTTAAAATATTAAACTATAAATATAGGAACAGGATTAAAACAAGTTTAATTCTCTACAAATTAAACTAAACTTATCGTGGAAATTAATTTGCAATTTAATATTTTAACGCTATGCGGTATTTTGTATCAAGATTTAACTGGACTCTGGCCAATATTACAATTTGCATATTTTATCATTTATTAATATTTATGAGTTCTATAATGCCTTTACTGTTTTAAAACTCGATAAAAAGATAAATATTATTTCGCTTAATTAACATTTAACGTTAATTAATCATAATATTACAATTTAATTTAAAAATTCCATTTTGTATCGTGATCCAGTTATTCCAAGAGTGCATTTAAAGCCTTAAAACTATCCTGAAAATTTTGTATATCTATCTATAGAGGATTTCCAGATATGTAAAGAATTATACGGACAGACAAACAGACAGACAAATCGTTATACATTTTAATCATTGAAAAATACGCATCTAAGGATAAATTTCATAGATCTACGAGATATTAATGAATAATACGAGCAGACAAACGTACGAACGAAACGTTAAAATTAATATTTTAATAGCAGAAATATAATTGAAATTGTATATTAAATATGTGATCAGTAGGTTCTCCTTTCTGATAGGCCCTACTGTATAATAGTTTAATTAAATAGGACATACTGTATAATGTTGTATAATAACTTGTAATAAAATGGGAATTTTTGGAAAAAAGATTTTTATTTTTTTTATTTTTAAAAATAAGAATAAAGATTAGTTTCAAAGAAATATTTCACTCGTCTCTTTACTTGTTTATGAAAGTTTCCTATCGACCAAGTGAAAGGAATTTTTTCTAAAGCAATTCAATAAAAAGGAAATTCAAAAATACTCTTCGAGAAAACTATATGAAGGAATTCCACATAGGAATTTATTCTTTTTCTTCTTAATGCAGATTTTATTTATTTCTTAAAATATATGTGAAGTCGAACTTCTGAACAGCGGTCACTGACGGAAACGTAAAAAGTGGCCGTTGTTTGGAGGTTATTCTGTGGGCATTTTTGTTTAAAAAGTTTCCAAAAGTGGCCGTTGTTTGGCGTTTATTTTGTGTGTATTTTTGTTTAAAAAGTTTCCAAAAGTGGCCGTTGTTTGGAGGTTATTCTGTGTGCATTGTCTGTTTAAAAAGTTCCTAAAAGTGACCGCTGTTTGGAGGTTATTCTGTGGGCATTTTTGTTTAAAAAGTTTCCAAAAGTGACCGTTGTTTGGAGATTATTCTGTTTCCTTTTTTGTTTAAAATGTTCCCAAAAGTGACCGCTGTTTGGAGGTTATTCTGTGTGCATTTTTGTTTAAAAAGTTCCCAAAAGTGGCCGTTGTTTGGAGGTTATTCTGTGGGCATTTTTGTTTAAAAAGTTTCCAAAAGTGGCCGTTGTTTGGAGGTTATTCTGTACGCATTTTTGTTAAAAATTTCTGAATAAACGGTCGTTGTTTAGAAGGGCCGTTATCGACGGTTCAATTGTGTATAGTTTGCTAATTAATTTTTTAATATACTAACATTTTTATTATATTAATTTTTTATTTAGTAATTACCGAAAGTCGCTAAAGTAATATCGGTTTTTTCCTAAATAACAATATCATCTATATTGATTATTGATGGTAGGTTAGCTGAGTTTATCTTTAATCAATAAACTGAACATTTCTTAACGATTTAATACATTCTTGCGAGATTTTCGTGAAGATTCTGTAAACGGGGATGGGAATATTCGGGATTTCGTGAAGCCATTTAAATCATTACGACTAATTCACGAAAATTTATGGAAATTTTTAAGTTATTTTAAATGGCTTCATTGATTTTCGTGAATTATTCACATTTTTAAGGGTTCCACGAATTTGTGGAGCTCTTAAAATAGCGATAGTTGGTCACAATTTCGTGCGGGTTTTCCGGTTTTTATACCTGTTTAACACCCAAATAGGAACCATTTTCTTATAGAAAATCCTCTAGGGAGTCCACGAAGGTCTTTGAAATAATTCAAAGAATTGATAGAATAAGGCAATCAGCGCATGGACGATCTTCCAAAGTGGCACCTTTTATGGACTTTTCTGAATTAGCCCTACTTTAAAGGACTTCACGCAAAAAAATACCCCTTTTCAACGTACTTTAAATGGTTATTCATGAATTAGCCATACTTTAATAGACTCCGCGAAGTCATTGAAACCCTATGAATACTTTAAGGAGCTCTACGAATTCAATGAAACCCTTCAGCTTGTTTAAGGACTGTAAGATCGTAACTAAAAGTATATGTACAGTAAAACCTGTATAAACCGTACTCGTATGGGTACCCAATATATTTTCCGGTTTGGCAAGTTTCCGTTTCGAACAGGTTTGTTTTTAACACAGAAAATTACTCCGTGTTCCGATGAATTCTCGTTTAGACAGGTTTGCGTTTTATTAAGATTTCATTTTAAACAGGTTTTATTGTATATAGAAAATAAAAGCAAAAAGTAGTACAAAAAAAAAGTGTTTAGGAGAAGTATATTTTGTATTTTTTATGTTTTTTTCCTTGTAGTATCGACTTGATGATGCGTTACGTTTAAATGCAGCACACGTAACGCATGCAGTAACCTAAAAGAATCCAATTACTGATAGTTCTTTCAATCATTTCTAGAATACTAACAAAGGAAAAAAGAAAAAGTAGATAAAGACCATCATTAATGAAAAATTGAATGCAATCGAGTAATAAAGAAAATCCTAATTAAGATTCGAAAGGAAATGACTAGAATTAAAAATAAATTATAATATACAATCGATCCGTTGAAAAAATAATTAAAATATAGTTTAAAAGTAATTTAAATTGATGATTGTTTCTAAATTTAAGTAAGGATATTCACGTTAAATAGATTTCCATGCATCTACCGAGTTACTATTTCAAGAATAAAAATTGTAGATAAAGCTAGATTGAATTGATAAACTTAACTAAACTTTTACGTTCAGGTACTGTACGTGTTAAGCTTACAGATTGGAGAAAAAAAAATTGTAAAATTTCTTTCAAAATAACTGTATTTTTTCATTTTTTAAGAGCAATTTATACAGTAAAACCTGTGTAAACCGGACTAGCATGTTTTTCCGGTGTAGCAGGTTTTACTGTATGTATAGGAGTCAAAATATGTATAACTGTACGTTAGAGTTGAAAAATACAGTAGGGGGCCTCACCCCAACTACTCCTAAAGCCCACCAGTGGATAAAACACTGGTAGTTGATGAGTTCGCACCTGGCAAATAGACTGACCACGTGGAGTTTTTCGCATATTTTTTCATGTTTGTAACACCTAAAATACGGGACAATTTCCCTATTTATATTAAGACTATTGTTATTAACATCAACTTTATAAATCTCCCCCCAAAAAAGCGCGAACAACGCCGGGCACGAGTAGCTAGTAACTTTATAAATACAGATTGTAAACTATTGTAGACTCTTCTACTTTAACACTCGAAATAGCGAACAAATACACCTTGCTATTCTTTACCTAATACGAATTCGATGTAGTGAACTGTTTAGTTTATTCCATTCAATATATCGAGGTTGCATTGTACATAAAATACAGTGGCCATTTTTTTTTAACAACAATAACCTCCAAACAAAGGCCATTTTGTTTGGAGCCGTTGTTCGCAGGTTTTAACTGTATTATTACATAAAAAATAGTCACATTTTTGCTTTACGCTTGAATAAAAATGTATATTTCTCTGATTTATTCTTATATAAAGTATTATTTTGAAAAATTACTGTATATATACATATTTTTGAATATATTCTTTAGTGTTTAGATGTATTATTATTATTATTATTAGCTCCGTTCAACATCTGATAAAATGATGGATACGGAGTAAATCTCTCTATTATTTTTTTGTTATAACCTATAATATAAACCAGTGGCAATCGGACAATTTTGAATAAAAATGCGAGAGGAAGGAGAGAGAATATTTTATAAATTTGAATATAAATTACAAAAAATGCAACTTCATGATTCTACATAATTCAAAGACATTTATCATTCTACTCCCCAATAAATTTTTCTTAACGTCACGTCCGTATGCCGATACGCTTCCACGTTAAGAAATACGGAATAATTTTATTTATAAAATATTTATCGCTTATAACGAACTTTTTCGTGATTTTAAATCGGGGTTCTCAATCTTTTTTACCATTTATAACACCTTTTTTAATTGGCTGATCCACATAAAACGGGGATCAAAGTCAGAGATTCCTTGAGGTCCTGGAGACAATTCTTGATTTAAATAACGCTCAAATAATCGAAGTACTTGTTGAAACTCGAAATTTGCTAACTGTTAAAGAATAATTGTATAATAAAAAACAATTATTTCGTCAGTTAATGATCGCTATTGTTAGTTATTACTTCCTGGATAAGCTGTACAGGCTTCAATTTGCAAACAAGAAGTGTCTAATGCATCCAGTTATATTTCGTAAACGTAAATAGGATGCAATTTTGTTGGACAATTTATTAAACAATCGAGACACACAGACGTTCTTCAATTAAGATAAATAAACGATTATAGATTCTGTACATGTATATATATATATATATATATATATATATTTTAGCTTTTTACTTATCGACTCCTTTCTACACTGATACAAAGTAACAACGAGCATACAGGGCTGCAATTTTAATCATATATATTATTTTAATTTAAAAAATAACGTGACTTCCGGTACAGACAGGAAATTTATATATTATTATTAATAGATCAGTTTGGGGCCCTTTGTTGGTGAAGGCCTCAGTCAATTGCCCCATTTTGCCCATATAATAGGTTAGATTGGAGCCCTCAGTCAATTGCCTCTTTTTTTTACCCGTATGGATAACGCGCCATTGAAATTAAATACAGTACGAATTAATATTACAGTCAAACCTGTGAACAACGGACATGATGGGAACATAAAACAATGGCCATCATTTGGATTTATTTTAGGGATTTTCGCTTAATTAAGTTTCCCGAAAAAGTAGTCGCTGTTTAGAGGTGGCCGTCATTGGAGGTTCGACTGTATGATTTACTTTATATTATTGAAATTCAGATATATTACTATTACATAACTATTTTTTTATTATAAATTTATATAGGTTTATAATAAAAATGAATTTGTACCACGACTTTCACATAATCTTTAGGAATTCCTGGACTCCCAAAATAAATCGATTGAATCCTTAGGGGTTGCCATCGCATCTGACCTTCGAGAGGGTCCATAAATTAAAATCTGCTGCTGTTCTAGAGAATAAAAAGAATTCAACTTCAAAACTGAATTAAAAAGTTCTAGAATCAATTTGTAGTGTTTTTCTAGAAAATAATTAATTTTTATTGCTTAATTTAAACTCGAATTCAAAGATTCAATTCAAGTTGAAGTGTTGTAAATTATTAAAAATTAAGAAATTATTGACCCTGAAGGAAATTTATTCAATAGGCACTTAATATAGGCATTTAATAATATTCAACAGGCATAAGTTTAATATGTCTCCATGCATTAATCCTATTAAGAAGTCACATTGAAAGTAACTATATCGATCGTTTAGATTTACCACTGCCGACAAATTTTGCGATTTTTTAAAAGAATTTATTCATCAAATATTATGAAAATTCATGTAAATTATAGATTATTAAATGACTAATAACTTCAAATAATTTTTTATCGATTTTTTTCGAGAATTTAACTTGAAAAACACCAAAAATTTCAGCTGCAACTTAAGAGTTTTCTTGGGTAATTACGGATTTAACGACGTTTCTAATGATACCAAAATGCCATTTTATCGAAGAAATTACCGGAATATTCTTGAAAAATATTCTCCGTAATTTTTTTTATTTAAAAAAATAAATACACGAGTCAATATTTCTTATAAAAGTGAAAAATTTGGCCTTAGAAAACTGAATATATATGACTTTGGCATGTAAATTTCGTGCCAGTGGATGGAAAATATGCGACGTGTGGAAATAATTTCTGTAGATTAAATGATTTTGAATACATTAATCAAAATCTTTACAGACATCTGAGAATATTATTTCCTATTGATCGGTTTAAAATGATTATAAATGGCTGGTTTTTTTTTGTCAATTTTCTCCTCGTCTACAATGCCTCAGATATTATTTTACACAGTTATAAATGAGATATTTTGCAAGCTTGCTCTTCCATTTTTGATTTTTATCTACTAAAAATCTAGGTACAGCCTGTATTTTATTGTATAAAATGAATTTTTATAGGCTTTAGAACGGATGCTCACACTGGAAAACAGGGCTATAGACTTTTACCGGTCATTATGTGGCCGTGCTAGCCTGTATTTGAATAGAATTTAAATATCAAAGTAGGACATAGGTCTACTTTCATTCATTTAGGAGTTTATGAATGAATAATACTTTAAAAAATGAATCAATGACGTGATTGTACAATGTACGCCTACGGGAAACGTTGGCCTTTGTTCGTATATTTCACGAATTGAAAGAGCTTAAAGTTCTTTTTTTTTAAGTAAGTAAATTTTAATTAATAGTTTCTTCATTAAAAAATCAATTTAAACCATATTTGTTTCTATAGAAATGCCCTTTCTGCTTAATCATATTGCCTGTAATTGCTAATTAGGGTCTAAAGTTAGAACCTAATAACGAAAATTGCGCATCGTTTATGGTATAATAAGCCCAATTATCCGATAGAGTTATATTTAAACTAATGAGAAACAAATTTTATAATAACTCACTAAAAAAAAAATGGAGCTTATAAATAACAATCACGTAATATGTCTATTACAGGAACACGTGATATGGGCAATAAATTTCTTATTTGCTACACGCTAAAAGTGGCTGCATTACTGTATAAAATGCGAAGAAAATGTAGTAAGGGAGCACATGTTAGGTCTTAAGTACACATGACCCGATTAAGGTCACCGCTCTTCTTCAGGGTCAAAGGTAAACGACACATACCTTGTGTTGATGTAGTAAAGCAAACATTCTCATCCCAGCATGTTTCACTAGTTACTGTATAAGTTATGAGTTTTTCTTTTCTATTATTAGATGTAGTAATAATTTGTTAAATTGATACTGGTAATTAAACTGCAGAAAATTTTTAACCTAATTTAAGCTGTAAGTTTGATTCTTTTACTTTCCAATATTGTTATTGTGCAAACATTTCCTATATTACTAGCAATTTATATATATGTTGAGCTTTCATACTGCACAATTATTGTTTATTTATGAAATTTATGTATTTAAATATATAAATGTTAATTCTTTCTTTAGTATAAATGAATGAATGAGTTACAAAAATAAAATAAAAATGTATTAAAGATTGTTTAGTAACTTTGCAACTGTCCACATATTTCTTTATTCAATTTTCTTATTGATTATTTAATAGGATGTTGCATAAGGAAATAAATACAGGGAACAATTATGTTGTTTACTGAAGTATACTAATGAGAAATACAATCATTATACCTGTAGTTATTTAATTTTTATTTTTTTAAATAATTTTTTCAAACATGAAACTTATATAACAAGTATCAATTATATATTAATGATTTACTGTTACAGAATTGTTATTGATTACATTCAAATACTTATGTACTTTTTATCGTTTCAGAATTTTTAATATTGACATCATGTCGCATCATAGTGACGATGCGGGATTAGTCGCCACGAGTGATAGCTTTTGGGAACCCGGAAATTATAAAAAAACAACAAAACGTATCGAAGACGGTTTGAGACTTTGCAATGATCTAATTCAACTTATACAAGAACGAAGTGACATAGAAAAAACTTATGCTAAAAATTTACGTGGTTGGTCCAAAAAATGGAATGATTTAATTGAAAAAGGTAACAAAGAAGTTGATCATTGTAGTATGATATTCAATATGATTTTTTAGAGTGAAAACTCAGATTTTTATAATATTAAGAAGATAAATCAATCCTAAAAATACTGTTTCTGATGATGTATATGAGGGAACTATAAGTTATAACTGTCAGAAAATCAAAATTAAATAAACTGAAGTAATTTTCAATAAAATACATATGTTTAATAAACATCTTAATAAGAATTGATCTCTGTCAGAATCCATCAGCATCCTGCAAAGATTGAAGGTTGTTCTAAAATTAGTTATGAGTTTAGGAATGATTCCTTGCAGACATGGCACTTAAAGGATGTATTTTAAAATTAGATACTTCCAAATACTTAGTCTAACACTTCAAAATAGATTTCTCAATTACACTAATTACAAATACTTGGTTTACTTAGTGTACTATCTAACACCATCTGAAAGATATGAGTATTTAATTGTATTTATAATTAAGAGCAATATTTGAACTTTAATATAATTATTTAGAAAAAATATATTTGTCAGAATTAATAGTATTTCTACAATACTGATGGTTTAGAGTTAACTAGTAATGCTAACTTTGAAACATTTTGGGAAACAAAAACAAAAAAATTGGTAGTGTTTTAAATAGCTATACACACCAAATATTAATAAGAAAGATAACATATACTGTCTGTCGGTGTTACGTAAAAAGAATAAATTTTTACATAACGCTGACAGACAGTATATGTTATCTATTTCCAAAAAACTTAGGTTTTGACAATTAAAACACTATCATAATATTGGCTTTAATAACTTTTTATTGTTAAAGCATATGTATTTTTGATTTAAGGGGTAAATTTGACATACAGGTCAGACTTTTTGACTTAAAGGTTTTCACTCTAGATTATTGATATATGACAACCTCAGAACAAGAGTGATCTGTCTAATTTTGGTGTTAATTTAAAGCCTTAGCATGTAGAGTTTGCTTAAAAGCAACTGTTCTATCTAATGCAAAACAGATCCAAGTAGAATTTGTTGTTACAAATTCCACTTGGATTCCAGGCATGAAAAGAAAATACAGAAAATACTATATAAAAGTTTTTGTTAATTATCTCAAAATTAGAATTTATTGACATGGACATAGATCACTCTTGCTGTAAGGTTGTCATATAACAAAAAATGTATATAACAAACATTCATATATAACCTTATAAAGCAACAGAAATTAATATAATAAGTAAAAAGCATATTTAACTAATCATAGTGATAATGTAACTTTTTAAAATTTAAATAGTGTTTGGCATATTTGTTATATTTTATTCTATTAGGTGCTAAAAACATTCTATATTGGGACATTGGTCTGATAAAGGTCATTAAAGATAACCGAAAATGTTAATGTTTTGCTTAATAAAGTTTATTTCTACATTTTTATAAGGTTGTATGCAAATGTTAATTGTAAAAATATATTATTGTTTTATTTGCAGTTTTATAAATTATTAAAAAGTGTTACCATGTATAAAGACATTTTTGTTATTTTTAAATGCATTATTGAATTTTCAAGCAATTTAGATATTATGATGATAAATTGTTTATCATCACAATATCTAAATGGCAACGTATAAATGACGTATGATTCACTAAAATATTGTTTAAAAATTGATTAGAAAGATTAACAATGATTTCTAAGCAGTGGTAAAGCAATTAAAATGATTAAAATTAAGATAAGTTATCAAAATTAATTACTAAAATAATTAGTTTGACATGATCTCACTTTCTAAATGTAGAAATTAATTTGACTGTTTCTATGTCTAGACTTTCAGTTACTGGGTTGGTAATTGATATTTTTAATATTAAGAGTGATGCAGAGTATCCATCCAGCCTTATACAGTGGGTGATCGGGTAACGAACATAATCCGTTCCAAGATTTTGTTCGCTATCCGAATTGTTCGTTAACCGATTATCGATTTACCGTAGGTTTTAATGGGAATTTAATTAATTCGTTCTGGAGACCTTAAAAAATAAAAAATATATACCTTCTTACTTATTTATATGTAATAAGTTAATAAAACTACATACATACACAGTGTTGCGTTTTTATTAGTCATGTTTTTTCCATTTGAAAGGGTTAAAGAATCTGTCTAATGTCGATTGCTTTTCTCTCTTCTTCACGATTTTTCGTAAGTAATTAATAGCATTGTAATTGTAGAGGACCCCAAGCCTCAACATGGTTTGAATGCCATTCTAAGACCGTTGTTCTGACATCCTCCCACTTCTACAAAGGATCTTTAATAACAGATATTGACATTAATCCTCTTTTTCAGAAGAAAACATATCTTGCCGAGTTTCTTGGTGTTCTTCATTCAAAAGTTCTAGGCGTTCTTCTGTCGTCAGATCCGTTTCAGGTTCCATTACAAACTCTTCGATGTTCTTTATTTCTCAGAAGTGATTTTTGTTACTGCTTTAGCTGCTGGAGTCTTTTTGATTATACATCATTTTTCTTAAATAAGATTGAACTGAGGCCTACTGTAGACCTGTTTATTCCATATTGCCCGGCAACATTAGATATCTTCTGTCCACTCTCTACCTTTGCTATTATACTCTCATCTTTCGAAAAGAAAAACAGACGCAAAACTTAACAAGTGCCTACCCAACAGTCTTGCGAATACACAAAAGAATTGTTTTGTCAGAAAAATAAAAGGCTGGAATTACAAGGGAGGATTTCAAAGTTCGGAGGAATGCTATCCGATCGGCTTGAGCATCAATGTCGACGTCTCCCACACTCCGAAAAGTTTTGAATTGTTGCCTGAAGACAAGGGAAGACCAATCGGTATTCATTATTTTACGTTGCTTCTTCTTGTATTTGTTCTGTGGGGTGTTCGTTATCCAATCATGTGTTCGTTGTCCGAACATAAAAATCTTTCGTGAAAGTGTTCATTATCCGATTTGTTCGTTATGCGATCTGTTCGTTAACCAATCACCCACTGTATATCTAATATACTAAAATCAAATATAAAGTCAAACAGTAAAGAGGTAGCGTGCTTCATAGATTTTATATTAGATTGATATGTGACTCAACTATTACACATATACAGCACATATGGTATCATGTTGATCTTCACTCTGAGTTATTTGAAATTCTGCTGCTTGGTCCCTCTCCCACTCCCACTCCCATTCCCACAAAAGATGGGATTTACATCTCTAAAAAAGCTTCGACTGAAAAAAAGAATCACTTAAACTATAATTAAAACAGTTGTTTAGATTATTGGTTTTAGACTCCAGGTCATGGTTTGTCTGAACCATTTCATATCATCGTATTAATAATTCCACCACTGATGATCTCACTGTACATATTTTTTTCTTGTTTCTCTCTTAATATGGAGGTGAAGATCCTACTTTGTTGCTGAATTGTATTTTTTTAAAATTGTTTACAATATATATATCTATTTTCTCATTTATATTAAAGTATATAAAAGTAGTTGGGTCATCATACTCTTTATCATAATCCACAGCTCTTTATATCTATGAAAGTAGATTTATAAACTATCAATACTATACTTTTATCTCAAATAAAGTTGTTTATATGAAATGCAAGCTTTTAATATATAAAAGATGGGATTGTTCAATTAAAACTTTTATAGATACTCTCAAGAAATAGAAAATAAAACAATTTATTATCTCTATTATATATCTTTTATGCTCTGGTCAAAATTGGCAATAATGAAATATTTATTGATAAGCCATAAATAAGTCACTTTGGTTTTACTTGTGGCCTTGAGCTTCTAGGAGTCTGAAATACATACAAATGTATTCCTGTCAACCAGGAACAGATTCAGAGACAAATATCGAGAGCATTTTTAATTTGCATAATAAAATAAACAATATTAATTACATTTTATAATTATTGCAGAAAGTTTTACTGCAATCTTGCAATCATATATGCCATTAGCTTTAATTAAAAAATTTAATTAAAAAGTTTTTAATTTTTATAAATTAGAAGATAAGGTAGTTTAATGGTATTTTATATTGTACAATACAGATTTATATGTATAGTACATTATATTTCATTATCTTGGATTATTTTTCTTTATCCTTGCAGGTATTGGGGTACACCAGTGACTAATTTAGACCTTCGCGGGCCCTAGACAAAATAATATTTACAGGCTCCTTTACAAATTTTGTATTACTATAAATACTGTATAAATAAAATTGTAATATTTAAAATTAAAGTATTTTTATTTTTACATTTGAATATCTTACTTACATTGTATTTTTGGAGCTACAATAAAATTATGCAGCAATAAACATTAAATTTTTCTCAACAAACAGTACTTTATTCTGAACTTCACCGAACTGATCTAATGCGCATATACAAACATTATCTAATTCTCAGTGATGATGTTAGATGTCGGAGCAGTAGGTAATGTTATTCTTAATTATTAACCCTTGAATATGGCGCTAATAATATAGTAATTCACAATACTAATAAAACAATGGCACGTTTAGAACCTATTATGGGCCCCAATTAATTATGGGCCTCGGGCAAGTGCCTTGCCTGCCTTGTGCCAAATTAGGCCCTGGGGTACACTATAAAATGATTGTTGAAGAAAAGATAAAATGACTGGAATTTATCAATTTCAGTAATTTATAATTGATATTCAAAGAATATTCAATTATAAATTGGATATTCCTTGAATATCATTAATGTATATGAGTGTAATGAAGTCATTTATCAGTAATTAACATTAGAAAGAGATGTTATAAAAGCTACTGTACAGTACTGTACTTTGGGTGTTACTTTTCAAGGTTAAACTATTCTGCTTGTGGCCCTAGGATTTGTGAGACCCTAGGCAAAATTTATTATTGAGGCCCATTAAAAGAGTGATGGATGTAGAGAGTGGTTTTATTTAGATCTAATTATATTAACATTTTAAATAGTAAAGCACATAATAAAAATAATAAAAAATCCAGCAACAAGTTGCTTAACTTTCCAGCAATGTTTTGGTGGTGCCATCTGTCNATATGATTCTGATATTTGATTTCCTTCCTGGTGTAGCATCGTTAATGTCCAGCAGTGTATGTACAGAAGAATTTCTATCACAATTTAATATAATTTACTTAAGAAAATTTTAATTATTTTTAAAACAATTTTAATTATCATTGATGTAGATTTCAGTTGAAGCCATTGAAAATATTCGCACAGTAACGTCTCTTCACCAGCAAGAATCATTTTACAATAGCTACGTAACATTTTTATCAGAGTCATCCAGGTAAAATGTTCATATCAATATGAAAAGTTTTTTTTATATTTTTAACTAATATAAAATGGCAAAAAGCTTAATTTTGAGGCTAGGGATGTGTTTTATGAAATATTGTAAATGTTAATAACAAGTAAAATCATCATTAAGTCCAACCCTACTAGAGATACACATCATCCCCTCTTATCTCCCCACCCTCTTGACCTTTAATCACCAAAATTCAATAGCATCAATCCTCCTAATAAACAAACCTCTCTGTAAAAATTTCAGAAATTTTCAACAAAAAGCACTAGAGTTATTAAGCTTTAAAGAGGGTGAACAAAATTGTACACCCCACAAACACAGAAAAACCCATACATACAGAAAAAAACCACCAAATATTTTTTCATTTCTTGATGTTTGAAGGTGTCCTGAGCCAAAAATATAAAAATCTTAGGGTGGTTATTTTTTGACCAATTCCTAACTGTACAATAGTAAAATGTGTACAATAGATTTAGAATAAATTGGAAAATTCAATAGATAGATGTACAGAAATTTACACTCAAAACTGCTCTCATGCTTTTATTTTATTTATTTATTGATGGCTGAATTATTTTATTCAGGACCAGAGTATGGCACAACTGAGGCTGCATGGAAGGGCGTTCTTACCGAAGCAGAGAGGAGATCTGATATGAGTATTCGTGTTAAAGACCGCCTTGCAAATGAAGTAATAACTCAAATAAAGCAATGGCAAAAAGACAATTATCATAGATCTATGATGCAACTTAAAGAAAAGAAGGAAATGGATGATGCCTTCAAAAAAGTTAGTACCCATTTGATATTTATAACTTAAAATTCTGAACTGAATTATGCATAAAAGCATTTATTTATATTGATATGTTTCTTTGCTCATTGAAACTACATTACTGTATATTGAAAATGCTTTAAATTCAATTATTAAAATTTTTATCTGAAAATAAAAAATATTTATTAGATTATTTCATTTTAGAATATAATTTTAAATATATAATTAATTAATAATGCTACTTTTTATATACGTATAGTTTTTTTTAGATCCTTCTTTAATATATTTTCAGAATAATCAATTGTTAAGCAAATGATATAAAGTATTAATTATTATTAAAAGAAACTCTTATTAACTGTGGTGTAATTGAAAAAATATATTTGAACATAATCCCAATAGTATGAAAACACTAGAAATTTTAAAATACATGTAATAATAATAAAGCAAACTATTTCTATAAAAATAAAATTTAATAAATTTGCAATAAGCAATTTATTAATTTTATTGTATTCTGGTATTTTTGAAACTGTGTCCAGTAATTTTCAGTAATTCGAACACAAATCAATTATTGTATTTATTGCATCTAACATTAATGTAATTAAATATAAGAATAAGAAAAATTTATTACAAGAAAATAAGCAAGTATTTGAATGAAATTTTATACGAATAAAATTACACAATGAATTAAATAATGCTAAACAACTTCAAGTAAAATCATCTCAAATATAATTAAAATGGAAGAAAAAATATTTGATATATATTTTTTTTTGTGATAATTCATCAAAGTTTCTTTTGTAAGTCAAATTTTTCATCATTGAAAGTAAATCTGATGCTAGTTAAATTGTTAAATCAGTAACATGATCACAACATATAAAAAAGAAAAATTATTTTTTAAATATAAAATTGAAAAACTAGACTGCTATAATAAAGAAATTTTTCAGAATATTTAAAAGTTTTTGGATTAGTAATGTAAGAAAATTTATTTAAATTATATTTTAAAAATAAGTTTAATTTTTTATATATTTATTTGATCACTATATATTTATATATGTAATGTATTTTCCATCTCTAATACTATCTGTGAATACTAAAAAATAAATTTGAATACTATGAATACAGCCAATATTGTGCCAAATGTATAATCACAGTGGTGGATCTAGAAGAACCTGAAGAAGGAAGCTAACTTAAAAATTAACAATATTTGAATAATTATAAGCACCTTTTTATTAACACATGCAAGAGAATTGTATTATGGATGGTCTGATAACCATATTTACCATTGTAAATGTTTTTAAAAATAACATTTTGAAGTTTGAACAATTAAATTTTAATTTTTTTATGTCAATAGTATCTCCGTTGTATCCACCACTGCATTTCAGAAAGTCTCTTCAGCACCTCTGGTTTAATTTTTGACAAGAAAAGCTGACTAGATTCCAAATGTTTTTGAATTATTGTTTTCTTAAAACAATCTGCAGTAGGTGAGAATGAGAACAATTGTTTATTTATTTGTTCCAGTTGAGATAAAAGTACCCAAAAAGCTACCGTACTTTAAAACTCAAATTCAAAATTAAAAGTTTAGAGTTTCATTACTTCAAATTTTGTGAATTGCTTCTCTGTTTACTTTTGTTTTACTTTATTAATATATTGAAATAAATAAAAAAAGATAGATAGTAAATATTAAATAAATTATTAACTAAATAAGTTATATTAGGTAATTAATTTCAGTAAATATTCATCGTATTTGAGATCTGATAGATATTCAAATTTGAGAAAAGTGATATTCATCCAACTTTAATATATATTTATTAATTTATTATAATTATTTATTTAATATCAGTTAATGTGATATTAGTTGTTTTATTTTTAAATCTATGTCAGTTTATTAATTTATATAGATATATTTTTATTTTTATAAAATTTGTAACATTCTTCCTAGATTTAGAAAACTGTCAATAGTTCTACTGAGTTATATCCTTTAGAGAACAAAACAATGTATTAGAATGAGAAAAAAGTTAAAAAAAATGATGGATAAGTTTATCTGAGATTTTTATAGAGAAGGACAAGAGAATGAAAGTATTGAAACATTGGAAAACTTTCTTACGGTTTTTTATTTTCCTTTAAAATCTCATTCTTTTAGAAGAAAATAAGGAATTGTTAAAGCAAAGAAAATACAACATGTGTGATTGACAAAAATCCCGAAGAGAAAAATAAAAATAATATGAACTGAAATAATAAAAAAAAGTTACTTATAAAAGTTATATTGTTAAAAATTGACAAAAAACAAAATAAATTACATTACAATAATGTTATGTTTAATACATTTTTTTAATATAAATTTTAGAACATTAATCTTTTTCTTTTTTTTTTTTAATAAATAAATATTTAGATCATTTGTAACTATTGTCTTAGCATTTATTAATAATGAAAGACATCAACAACTTTAAATTAATTTGCAATTTTACTATTAAAGTGCAAAATATAATTTCAGAATTAATGAAAATTAAAATTTTTTGGTAATTCATCCAGTTAAAATTTTAATTTGATAAATAATATTATCAAAAAAAAAGTTGACCAATGGTATTTACACATTGAAAATAAATAAAAATACAACAGATTTTGCTTAATTGGGCATGATCCATTCTCTGATGTGGCCCAATTAAGTGGAATCAACTGTATATCAAAGATACAAAATTTGTCTTCATGAATCCATCTTTGTGGAAAAAACAGGCTTATGAAGAGACTCATTAATTTTACTAAAAAATAAATAAAATCTTTAAAATGGCAAAAGGAGTTTGCTCTACTCCTAATCCTCATACAAGTTCTCAACAGTCCTGAATCCTACATATAAAGAATATAAAAAAATTCTCTCTGAGAATAAGAAGAGAAAAATGATCTGTATTTCTAATAAGAGTTAATTAAAATCAATTTAACTTAACTTATTGATTAGTTATATAATTTCTGTTTCATTGTTATAAAATAATGAATTAGCCATTTTAAAATATCAGGATATTTATAAATAAATGTAAGTTTTTTTTTAAAATTCTATCCACTTTAAATTTAAAAATCTAAAATAATAATAATACAATAAATGAAATTTTCTTTATTATGTAAACTGTAATTTGAAGTATAAAGTGGAAAAATAAAATATTAAAAATGAAGAATAACAGGTATAAAAATTAATACTTAAACATAAATTACATATACAGAACATGTGGTTATAAATATTGATGAGTAAATATGAATATGCAGTTATAAATATCGATGATGGAAAGGTTACAAAATTTCTCTACATAAGCAACTTTTTAAGTGGAAGAACTGTAAATTATCTAGACCAGCATTTCTCAAGGTGTGGTCTGTGACTAAGTGCATGTCTGTGAAAAAAAATGCTGGTTCATAGAAAATTTAATAAATACATTATGAAATGTGCTAAAGTAATTAATTTTTAATGAAAATAAATTTCCTGTTTTTAAAAATGTTATTATTATTTAAATGAAATATCTCATCTATAATATAATCGAGACGGGTTGATGATGATAAGTGCAGAGCCCAAATGGTTAGGAGTTGAAAGTTGAAATTTGGTACACAGATAGGGTATATCACGAAAACGCACACTAAGAAGGGATTTTTCGAAATTCCTCCCGGGGGAGAAAGACAGGATTAAGGCTTAACACTTCCATCAACAATGGAAGTGTTAAGTAACAATGGAAGTTTTAAGTAACAATGGAAGTTTCAACAATGGAAGTGTTACATAGCAATGGAATTGTTAAGAGAAAGCGACGTGCAAGACGCAGATGCAGTTTTTTTCGTTTTTACGGGAAATCGAACATATTTTTAGATCCATCTAAAAATTCTCTAATTAGTCTGGAAACAAGGGGATTCAATTCTTGCATTCTGTGAAAACGGAAGGTTGACTGTAACGTAATAATCTTTATCTTAGTTATCGTTACTTTTGCCCGAGCAACGCCGGGCCCACCTGCTAGTTTCATAATATTGTACAAAAGTCATGCATTTAGTGAAATGCTAATTGTGATAAAAATTGTTGCATGTGCATGATATTTGAGGTGGGTATCAAGAAAAATTACTGAAAACAAATGATCCCAGATGGAAAGACTGATCTACAGAAAAAAATTATTTAGTATTTCTCATTCATTTGCTATGATTTTGGAAAATTATTCTGCAACAAAAGAACAGATTAAAAGTTTAATTTGATAGATGCTTCATATGTAAATGATTTGTAGGAAATTGTTTTTTATGTTCTATTTCATTTCTGTTTAATTTTTGCTACATGTACTAAGGGAAGTTTATTCAAAGAATGAAATTAGTCTTGAATGTGAAATCACCATAAATTTGTGCTGAATTTTTAAAAGGGTGGCATTTAAATAAAAAACATTATTTTTCATAAGATGGATATTGTAAAAGTTAATAAACTAGTGCATATATAAAATAGAATCATTGAGAGCTTTTATTGGGTTTGGGGTAGAGTGAGCCTCTTAACCATTTTTTTTTTTTAACAAATGAATTATGTAGAATAATATATATGTTAATTTATTAGTATTAAAGTTATATTTGTTTGTTTACTTTTTGGGCTGCAATTTGAAACAATTGTAGACCTATAAATTCCCCCTGTCATTCGTCTGCCTTTCTGTAATCTCAAGAATAGTGTTAGATAAATGAAATTAAAGACCAGATATGGAAAGCTTAGGGGCAGGAGGCCCTGATTAACTATATATGAACTTCCAATGCAAATTGGAAATCACATTATTTCAGTTTAAAAATTTTTCCCTGAAAGGAGTTAGATAGATGACCAGCACAACTGTATTGCTAATGAAAAAGTATGATGTACTGTACAGGTACAAAACACTGCAGTACTAATTTGAGGTGGAGAGCATATATTTTTAATTAAGTAAATTAAAGATATGATTAAAAATTGCTGCCCAGCATNGTGAGCCTCTTAACCATTTTTTTTTTTTAACAAATGAATTATGTAGAATAATATATATGTTAATTTATTAGTATTAAAGTTATATTTGTTTGTTTACTTTTTGGGCTGCAATTTGAAACAATTGTAGACCTATAAATTCCCCCTGTCATTCGTCTGCCTTTCTGTAATCTCAAGAATAGTGTTAGATAAATGAAATTAAAGACCAGATATGGAAAGCTTAGGGGCAGGAGGCCCTGATTAACTATATATGAACTTCCAATGCAAATTGGAAATCACATTATTTCAGTTTAAAAATTTTTCCCTGAAAGGAGTTAGATAGATGACCAGCACAACTGTATTGCTAATGAAAAAGTATGATGTACTGTACAGGTACAAAACACTGCAGTACTAATTTGAGGTGGAGAGCATATATTTTTAATTAAGTAAATTAAAGATATGATTAAAAATTGCTGCCCAGCATCATTGTCAGCAATTTAAAAAATGAGCAATTATTTATAATTTCTTTTATTTAAGTTTTTAATTCTTCCAAAATGAGAAGAATTAAACTCCAAAACCCCATAAATGAACTTGAAGCGGTACCTTTTTGGAGGGAACATGCCTCAGTATCTTTTTTTATATGTGCAAAATACAGCTTTTGTTTTATTTAAACAATGTTTATATACAAGAAAAAACATAAATAAGTCAAAAATATTTAAAATAAATAATCTAAATTAAAAATGTATGTATACAGTTTATACAAATTTATCTGAAACATTTTTTTATTACATAATATATGAAGATTAATGATCATAAATAAGTGAAAAATCATTTTCCAAGTACAGTAGAACCTCGAAAACTTGGCCTAATGTGGACCGAAGGGTGGCCGAGTTTGTGAAAATGCCGGGTTATCGGAAATGGGGTTAAAAAAATAAGTACGAGTGTTTCCTCAGAAAATACTGTACTGTACTTGTATGTATTGTTTACTTGAGAATATAACAGAGAATAAACTGCCCAAATACCCTTAAACAAAGGAAAAGTACGTCCTTTACGAAGGCATAGAGCCTTTACTACATGAAAATGAAAATTAATGAATACACTGTGTACAGTAATTTACCTGATAAGACAGACCTCAGAAAAATACTTTATAAGAGCTTTTATACTTTTATAAAGCTGTCTATAATGAAAATTAATTAATTAAGGATTTTTTTGCCCTGCCAGGGAGTGGCCGAGTTATATGGAGTGCCGGGTTATCGAGAGCCGAGTTTTCGAGGTTCTACTGTACTGTCTACTGTATTTATTATGCTATATGTTTGTTGCTTTATTTGATATGTAATTTCATGATACTTTTCTAACTTTTAGAACATTTTAAAACAGCTATGTAACTCTTATAGAAATGCTTCAAAAGAAATTCTTTAAATATTTTTGAAAAGGAAATTGTTATTAAAATTATTACAAACCTAGAACTAAAGGAAATTGTTATTAAAATTAAATTGAGTTAATATAATTATCTAAATTATGGATTAATTAACAAGTACAAAACAAGGAATTAATACTAATTTACCATATGTTAGTAGAGAATAGAAAATATTTTTACTTACTTTAATAGGCAAATGAGCTATATCAGATGACTTTTTATTTGAATCAAAGAAATTACTAAGGAAATATTAATATTAAAGAAGTTTGAAATTTACTGAATGCAAGATTCTTTTAACAACTGTGGAAGAGCAAGTTATAGTGTATATTATCATTATCTGTACATAAATGAACTTCATCATATCCTTTCTTTATGTTGTCATTTCAATTATCTGCATTTATAATATTATAAATGCTGATTTGAACTAAAATTTAACTCTGTTTGATATTTAAAATGTCACAAAGTTGACTGGAGTAAAATCCTCTCTTCCATGAACCTGTTACCGGTGTGTAACACATAACAAATATACAGCGGGTGACAAACATTTTCGAACTATCTCACAGTTCTTCCTCAGGCCAAGTTGACCTGAGGAAGTTTGTCGTTTGTCACCTGCTGTATATTTATTATACGTGTTATGCGCCAGTAACAGATTCAGGGAAGAGAGTATTTAAAATGTCTTTGAAAAGATTGCATTATGGTGCAACTTTGAAACAAAAACTATATTATGTTCAAAGGAGCACAGAAGTAATGATCGGAGTTATTACATGTGTCCAAAACTTAAGGATGAACACAATTGCTAATATTGATATCTAGAAAAAGTTATTGAGCCAATTAAATGGTGACAATCCTGCCACAATGTTAGTATTACTTTGCAGTTTGACGTGGACATATTCCATACTAACAAGCCTCTCTCCTTGGGTATTCTTAAGCACTTTCCATCCATTCTCCACCTATGTCCAACTGCGATAAGAAGCTTTTTCACTAAAGACTTACTTTTATTGCTTAAATTTCTAAAATTAGATAAAACATTCCTTTTATTATAATTTCTGGTGAGAACTTCTAATAGGAAAAATATTTTATTTAATTTTAATTACTTTAATTATTTAACACAGATAAAATCAGGATAATTTCATTCATATCCTTATTTGGCTGTTTTAATTTAATTAAGTGGTCACATTTGATTCATTAAGATCTATATTATAAGTAGACTGAGGATAATCATTATGTGAGTGTGGAAAGTTTTTAAAATTGGTTAATATAATCAGTAATATTTTAAAATATAAATCCTAATGCATAATTATCTGCTTTTCCTGTTTTTATCCATCTGAATATATTGCATTCCTCAATCTACATGCTAATTTCATATGTGAATTCACTCTTCTGGAGAGCAATCATGGATCTGGAAGCTAGGGTCTTCTAAGTTCCTCTATAACTTCTTCAGATATGATGCTTTGATTGCTTCTGATTTATTGATATCTTTTTCTCCCTTTATACATTTCAAATTACATAATCTGATGTTCTAGCCCTTATAATTAAAATTTCATTATACATATTCTGGCCAAGATTCCAGAATTTCCCTTCCTTCTCATCAACTCTACTGTTAACTTATTCAATAATAATCACCCCTTTCTTAAAGTTAACTTGTTTGCTTTATAGAATATATTAAATTTAAATAATCCAAATATAATGATGAAAGCTACATGAGTTAATAATGAAAAATAAGTATAAAGATACATACATCATAAAGTTTTGATATTTATACTTCAAAAAGGAAGGCTCAAATGGAAAAATATCTTTCTACATTATACTTTTTTCTCAAATAAAAATTTGTCAAATAAGATTTCTTTAATCAAGAGTATAGTTAACTCTTGGCTAAAGAAATCTTATATTCAATAATAAATGAATGGTTTCAAGAGTTTCCTTTTAGCTTCAGATCCTTTTTAAACAGATTTATAAAGATGTAATGAACTTTTTTTAAAGTTGGAAAGATGCCAAATGTTTACTTAGCATGAACAATGACTTTTAAATATTCAAAAATTATTGCTAGAGTTCTTCACTGTTAAGAACATATAATTAAACATATTAAATTATTAAAAAAGGATCTGAAGCTGAAGGAAGAGACTTGAAAACATTCATTCATTGTTGAATATATAGTAAGTGTTCTTTAGTCAAGGAGTTAATTATAACTTTTAATTAATAGAAGAGAATTAAAAAAGAATGACTCAGTTTTCCTCAATATTTTTCAGTCATCTTATTTCATATTGTACCATTTATTGCTTTAAAAGTATATTTTATACGTATAATTTATTCTTCAAATATTTATTTCAAAATTCATTTATTTACACTTAAACTTAATTAACATATTAGCAATAATTCTAATTAATATCAATAAAAGTACCAGAATTTCATATACAATGGAAGATAATTGTTCATTTTGTTTTTCTGAAGATATTTTATTTATTCATCCAGAATCTTATTTGTAATATTTGATAAGGATAAATTGTCATTTCTCTTGCAATCTATTAGGTTTTATATGGTATATATATTAAAAATTATTTAAATGTTAGATAAAGATAAGTTGAAATAATGAAAATTTGTAACATGAAATATTGCAAATTCTTCAATTGTCAGCCAGATGGCAAAAGTGGCAGATTTCAGCTTGTGTTCTGAGGAATATGGATTTGATTTAAATTTGATCATCAGAGATTTATGAGTTATCTGGCTTGGATATGTCAAGCTCAGTTCCTTATTATGGATCTGAAATCAGTGATTGACGTGACTAAAAGGCTCATTAGTCTCCACGTACTAAAAAGTTAAAAAAAATTCTCCAACTAAACTAGATTAGATTAAAAATTATAGTAAATTAGCTATTAGCATTTATTTTGATGTACTATAATGTAAATCATCTCTAATTTTCACAAACAAAATTGAAAATCTAGAAAAATTTTTATTGAATCTTTTAATTAATAAAAAAAATATTTAAAACGATCTAATTCTTGTTCATTGTGTGCATACCATATTGCAAAATAAGATAAAATAACATTATTAACAATGGTATCTTATTTATGACATTAATATATAAAATTCAAAGGGTCAAAATTTATTATTTGATAAAACTTTTTTCAAGATGATGATTCATTATCATAAGGATGCTGGGCATCAGATGATAAATTAATATGCCTCTCAAAACCTCACTAGGTCTCACTAGATTTCAAGCATTAACAAATGTTTTGGGCTCCTTCTAAGCCTTGCTTCAGGTTTTCTACATTCTATGAATGGAACATGTACAAAAATACTGTGGTTAAATTTAAATTTAAATTGCTACATTACCAACTACCTTATGATAGAGTCGAACATACATCATTATGTAACTGGGCAGGTGGTTTATGCTGATTAGAACAATGGATGATAAATTAGGAGTGTGTAAACTTTATTAGCAGTGGTGTCTTATTCTTGATATAAAATGAAGTTGCTACTTAACAAAACTCCTAAAATAATTATTTATCATTTGAAACATTTAAAATAATTTCTCAAATGTGTAAAGTGTTTTCGACAGAACTAAAATTAGTGTCAATGGTATTCATAAGCTAGTTTCTTCGAATTTTAGTGTAAGTTTATTAAATAATTATTTTTGTAATTATTTTTATAATTCCAGGCACAAAAACCATGGGCAAAATTATTGGCAAAGGTAAACAAATGTAAAGTGGATTACCATACTGCATGTAAAAATGAAAAATCAGCCATTAATCAAGAAAGAAATGCAACTGGTGATACATCTTTATCCCCTGATCAAGTAAGAATTGATGTAATTTATCAATGTAAGTGTTTGAAGAGAATATTAGATTTAAAAAAAATATAAAAATTTTTTATATTTTATTAATAAACTACAACAATTTTATGGTTAATCATGATAGCATTCGTAGAAATGATTTCTTAGATTATGAATTTAAGATAAATTATTTTAATAATTTTATAACATTAACTATTTAAAGGTAAAAAAACTTCAGGATCGTGTCACGAAATGTAAAGATGATGTCCTGAGGACCAAGGAACGTTATCAGCAGGCTCTCGGAGAAATAAATGATTTTAATTCAAAATACATGGAAGATATGATCGTCGTTTTTAATAAATGTCAAGAATTCGAAGAAAAGAGACTTAATTTTTTTAAAGAAATGTTGTTTGGTATTCATGCTTGTCTCAATATATCAACTGATACTGAGTAAATATATATATTTTAAAATTTTTAATTTAATTTATTTAGTAAATGATATCATGACTAAATTGACTTTTTCAGATATACACATTTAAAAAATTTGTTTAGTTATCTATTTAATTAATTAATTTATTAAAATGTTTATGACTTGCATAGAATTTTATGAATTTAATGTTATTTATAATTTTAAAAGTATTGTATTTAATATTTCTGCAGCATTGTAATTTTAATGTTAAACTAAATGATAACTACCTAGGTTTTGTGTGTAAACAATAGTTATGTGTTTGGCCCAATCCTTTTTAAATTGTCTTTTAAACAATGGGACAAATTATTTGTCAATTTTAAATTGCAAGTACAAACTAATGTCTATCGAGCAACCATTGCTCGATAGGTTTAGAGTAAATGCTAGTGGGTTATTATAAGTCATTGCTAGTTATATGCACAAAAATACAAAAATAAGCATACTGAGGTTAAAATTAGTAATCTTACTTATACTCTAATCTTATAATTTGTATAAAAAAGAAAAAAATATACTGTATGTACATCTTAAAGCCTGATAATTATTATTTATTTATTTATTTTTTATTAATAAACTTAATTTTTTTTTTAGATTACCTCAAATATATGAAGAATATAGACATACAATACAAAATGCAGATGCTGCTAAAGATTTAAAATGGTGGTCAAATAACCATGGAGTTGGAATGGCAATGAATTGGCCACAATTTGAGGTAAGATATATCTAAGTAAATTCATAAAAAACATTTTACATAATTTCATTTCTAACTAAAAAGAAAAGTGGGATCAAATTATATGAATTTAATAAAGTTAAGTTTATATTCCTGAATTAATATTTATAATAAATATATAAATAAATTTTCTTTCATATAGTTATAGAATGAATAATAAATGAAAATCAATATATTTTATATAACAAAGTTTTTCAATGATATCTAATTACAACAGTATAACTGCTTTATTACTTTTAAAAATCATTTACCAAATATCCTTAAATAAACAATATATATTGAAAATAATGATTCTAGTTTTCATTGGCAGAGTTTTTATAAATTATATTAGTTTTCATTAAGGTAGCTTCTCAAACATAAATCCAATTCAAACTATTTTCTTCAGAACAAAAGCATCGTTGCGAATCCACCTATTATCATCAGAATCACCCATTACAATCTTGATGATGGATGAATAGCTCAAAATTGGTAGTTTTCTCAAAAGCTTTTGTTCAGTTTGAATTGGATTTCTGTTAATTATATTTTCTGTAATTTTGTACATTGTAAAATTCCACTTAGTTAGTTAGAGAGGATCCATATCCTGTTCTTGATTCACATTCCTAAGTTTAAAATAATTTTCTTGATTTTCTATAAAGTGTCTTTGATTAAATATTTATACAATATTCAATACTAAAGCAATCAGTATTAGCATAGTAGTGGTAAATGTGTTGTTTCTTAAGGCCAATCATACAAAAGGAGAAAGAAAGACAGCAGTTAGTATTAATGGAAGATCTAATTAATCATCCGTCAATCGTCAAAATTATCAATTGAAATAGATTGATGCCTTAATTTTGCTACCTATGTATATTAGTCTTTACTCATCAAAAGCAATGACATATACCAACTGTAATTATTTACTTCTCTCCTTATATAACCACAGTAGTCAAACTGTAGCTAGAAGAGTCATGTGCAGCTTGCTGCACATGACTCTTCTAGACCCTTATTCTGGCTCCTGTACAGAATATTACATATATGTAAGTAATATGTCTGAACTTTATAAAAAGAAATTGTATAACTATACGAGAGTTGTACTAAAGGTCTGGAAGAGCCACATGTGGCTTCTGAGCCACAATTTGGCTATCATGGTTATATAACAAGATATTTATTGTAAAATTTTGAGACAATATGAATTATATTTATCTGCATATATAAAAAAAAATATTATCTAAAATTCTAAAACCTATTTTTATAAATATTTTATAAAATATAATCAGATTGTTGTTGAATTTTTTTAAAAAAACATAAATTTTACCCTTCTGTATCTTTTTCTTCTACAGTTTCTTTTCATTCTGCTTTATGATTATTTGTAAGCAATGACTTTGAGTTAATGTTATGCAACCCTGTTACTCTCATCATAGGAGTACTCCGAGGAATTCCGTGACATCATAGGAAAAAGCAAGAGAGGTGCATTTACTGACAGCGGAATCATGCTTGTTAATCAACAGAAAATCAATGAGGACGTTCCTGTAATGATAATTGTTTATTTCAGGCATACTTATAGCTTCTCTCCTACTTGGCACCTTCCATCTTGGATGCTTTCTAATTTAAAAAAAAAAACAATGGCTTTGTATTAAATTAAAAATTCAAGTTTTTATTAATGCTATTTTATCACTCTGAAATTAATAAGCTTTTAGTAGCATTAAGACAAAATTTTGTTATGAAAATAAACAGAAAATTGAATGTAGATAAAACGAAAAGCTTAATTAAAAAAATGTTCATTTCAGAATATATTAGACTCGAGACATAAAATTTGAAGAGATATCTTCTCTCATTTACGTAATTTTTAAAAAGTCAGAATGTGTTAGATTATCATTAGGCAAGAAGAAAATATGAACAGTTTAAATAAGAGAATTTATCTTTTATTTGTTTGAAGTAATAAAAATAGACATACAACTAAATTAAGACATCAAAAACTTTTTAATAGATAAGAAACATTCTCAGACTATTTACAATCTAGCTTTAGCTTACACATGTTTTAAAATCAAACATTGGAATTGCATGTTATTCTATGATTCCAAAATGTGAGAGCTAAAGCTGTACTGTAAAATAGTTTGATCATTTCTTGCCTATTGAAAAATTTTTGGTTACCTTAATTTAGTTGTACTTTTTATTTTTCATTACAACTTTAAGATATTGTACTAAGTTTTAGTGATTTTTCATAATACAGGTATATTTAATATAATAAAATAAAGTAAACAGATAAATAATTAAATTCTAATTTGAGCTTTCCTGTTACAGTTATCAAAAGACAATCATCCAATTTTAGTAAATATCTAGTAAAATATGGTGATTAAATTCCATTGATCAACTTTATCATGTTTTAGAAGAATTTCAATTTATTTTATTATATCTTAAACTGAATAAAGAAGATAAATTCTTTTATATAAGTTTTCAGTGTAAATATCATAATTATTTTATGCTAAAAATCACATTGATAAAATTCAAATACTGAGCGAATGATTTCATTTCATATGTAAAATGTAATTTTATTCTAATGAGGAATAAAGTCAATTTCAAAGCCATTGTTCTTATCTGCACTTTTTCCTTTAACCATTCCTTTATTCTTATTTAAATCCCATACTAATCCATAGGACAGAGGCTCACAACTAAAATTATAACATCTTCTCCCACCTGAAAATTTCCTTCATTTGAGCTAAAATGGAATAATGAACTTATTCCTGAAAATTAAAATGAATGGCTGTGGTATATAATAATTAAAATTTGATGTATTAACAAAACTTTTCTAATGTTAATTATACCTGACTTTAATAATAAATTTTAATATTTGATTATATAAGGTATTATCAGTGGTATAACTATTTTGCTGCATAGTCAACCATGAAGACCGTGAAGACAAGATTTTGATATGAGTAACCTTTTCGTTGTTTCGGGAGGGTCCTAAAGGTTAGAGCTTGCTCTGAAGTTGAAAATCATAGTTATGCCACTGAATATTATATTAATATTAAAATATTTATATCACATATACTTAAGGGTTTAAACTGTGTAAGCATTCTATGATTTGTTGATATGCAATTATTTATCATAAAATGTTAATTTTAATCACACAATTTTGCAGAAAAGATATTGCTTTTATTCATTTTAGTTTACAGATTGCCATGGCATGTCAAAAAATTATACAACAGAATAAGTGACATAAAATTGCTCTTCTGGTTTTATTTTCTCAGATGAAAAATTATGTGTAGAGGACAAATTTTTCTGAAAAGGGAAATGACATTACGGATATGTTTAAATATAAATAGGACAGTTTTTAAAGCTAAAATGGAGGAAAAGGATGTTTTCCTCTTAGATATCATATAGTAATTCTATTCTTAATGGATGTTGATCATTCTGGCCCATGTTTGTCTATCATTGCTGCTCCGAATGATTGTTACTCCAGTCCACTTTCTTCATTTTATAATCACGATGTTTTTGAGTATCAGGCCTTCTTTTTTCCTCTATCTTTTTTGCTGTATAATATTTTTTGTTTTTATGTATCCAAAGTATGCAACTCTTATACTCTTTATGACCAATTTTTCCAGTTCTCTCATATTTACAAAAAAACTTTTGATTTTTTTACAAAAATTTGGAAATTCTTCAACTCCAAATTGAAGCTTATTTCTCCCTTTTACTTTCTTGGTATACATAACAAGGGAAAGTATTGCAATCGTCTCATTAGACTCTCTGCAAATCTCTACATTTTGAGATCCTGAAAAAGTAAAAAGGGTGGGAATTCCTCTTTTTTGTGGATGTGTGTGCATGCGCATGTATGTTGGTGTCTATTTAATTTAATATCTTGGGATGAAGTAATGATTAAGAAATAAAATTTGGCATGGTAGCTTGTGTATAAAGGGCTTTAATGCTATAAAATCCTGATGGTTAAAAGTCAATATCATAAAAAGTCTATGTCATAGACTTAATGATATTGACTTTTTGTCAGACTTAATGAAAGGTTTACTTGTTAGCATTTACAATATTTTTTATAAAACTCATCTCTATTCTCAAAATTAAGCTTCTTTTTTTAACAAAATCTCATAACAGATGGCACCAAGAGAATTTTCAGTTTTGTGGTAGTGTCTTAATGTTTTTTTTTGGGAAAGTTATGCACTTCATTGCTGGATTTTTTACTCAACAAGTGCTCAACTTATGGGTAATATATTAGACTTAGGAACAGGAGATCAAGTTTTGTTATTATTGAGAGTTCAAAAGCACCAAATTTCAAGTTAAAGTTGAATTCAACTTTAAAATGAAATTACTTAAGTGCGGAATAGTTTTTGCCGTTTTTCCTCTTAAGATACAAATCTATTTGTGATATATTCAAGCTTATTGTTCTGTTTAATATCAATATTGAAGGATCTGAAGCATTGTTGCTTCTTAATGAACTTATCATACAGAAGACTTAAAGATAACAGGAATAAAACTAGACTTTATTTGTATAATACCAATAAAGTCTAATTTTTAGTAGATTTAGTATTAGTTTTATTTTAGCTTTATTGGTATAATACCAATAAAGTCTACACTTCAGATCCTTCAATACAAATCTATATTTTTAAAATTTATAATATTTTTTATACAATACTTATATAGTATCTGATTAACATCATGTATAATTCTTCCTTTTTTCTTTATACTGTAATTAATTGTTTTTAACATTAATCAAATGTTTTGATTTCCATTAACAAAATCCACATGAAGATTGTTAACTTTACTATTTAATAACTTTTGAAAATTGTAGCATTATTACTGTTTTATTTTAATTTTCTGTTCTCTAATTTTATAAGTGCCATGGAAAAATTCCATAATACAGAATGAATAAAAGTAATGATTTAGTCAGTTTAGTTTATTGAAATATTGAGATTTTTTTAAGTATATGTGATAATTTCACCATTCAGTCTTAAAGTTATGGAAGTTAGTGCCCAAAATTATATTGGAGTACACCAGATAGAGTATTAACAAATAACCTTGAACTATTCATAGAACATAAAAACAGATTTTTAAATTCCTGTAAAGTTTACTTTGAATTGGCTCTTTTGGTTGAATTGAATAACTATACATAAAACTATAAATAATGCTGTTAATAATATATATTATATTGTACCATTAAAACTTTATAATGAATACCATTGATAATAGAACAAAATATTAAGACATTTAACATCTATTTATTTCCATAAGTGATAAACCATTACAAAGAATAAAGTTTTATGTTTTTAATTAAGATATTTGTTAAGGAAGCTTCTCAAATGTAATTATGATTCAAGCTGCTTTTATCAGAGTGCAAATTTTTTAGAAAACTCAAGTGGCAATGGATGTCCTGCATATGTCAAACATCCATCATCAGAAGTTAACAAGAGAAATAAAGGCTGAAAGAATAAATAAAAATAGAGATAATCCTTGTGACTATTTTTCCTGAAACACAAATATGAATGCTAACACATACAATAAGCACTATGTCAACATATTGTGTTTCTTGCAGCTGATGTTGGCTTCTTGTGATGGAAGATGGATTCTTAATGATGTGAGTGAGGGTCTTGATAACGAAACTATCTCTTGTGATGACATAAGCATGCCAAAAGGTTTGTATAGCAATGTAGGCATCTGTGATGGAATCCTGGCTCTGATGAGAGCCAAAGATTAGATTAGTTTATTTCTTTTGCTAACTCTAGGTAGTAATAAATGATATCTGGAAAATAACGTGCATGCAATTTACAAAAAACTTCTGGAATCCGAACTTTGCAAAATTGTGTCATTAGCATATTGTAACGAAGGTCACACAATGCAGTGTGTTAAGTAAATAATGTAAGTAAATGGATGAAAGAGACATTACAATATTCTGAAGATGATCTAAGATAATGAATTCCCTATTGACAAACATAAGATTATAATTTTAACATGCCCATTTTAATATTGATGAAACACCAATAAATTAAAGAAAAATAAATTAAACATAAATACAGTATATATAAATATTTAAAGTTTCAGACTGAATGGATTAAAAATAAAATTTGAATTTATTAAAATAATTGAAGAAAATTAATTTTTTGATATATTGACAATACAATTTTCAATTAACTTAATATTTGTGTCAAGAATATAAAGAATTTATTTGTCATTCCATTTGTTTCACTTCAATATTACAGGAATTCATTCCAGAATTACAGAATTCTTCTAAAAAGGAAAAGAGAGATTCCGATTCTGACATCATTAAAAATAACAAGGAGAAAACTAAAAATTCTTCGACAAAAAATCATTCAGTTAACTCGTAAGTATATGTTTCATTCATATTCTATATAATTTGCATGGAAATTTGTGTTTAATGGATTTAGAAAACAAGTTTATATCTCGGTATTAATTTAACTTAATAGTCATTGCTAAAAGAGATAGATGGAATGTGTTATTTTAATAAATAACTTAGTAGGAATTTTTAATTTATAATGAAATAAGTTTATCTTACATGCTTCTAAATTGTTGATGTGCAAAATTTAATATAAGATGCCTTCTGAAAATCAGAGAATTTAATTTATTATTAGAAATGTCTCCATACAAAAACTGCTCTATTCATGTTGATAAATAAACATCAATTTCCTATGACCTGTTAAAGTCCTGTTTGAGGGATAAAATTCACAAAAAAATGAAACACATTCAAAATTAAACTTTGAATGAACCAGTCTCAAATGTTTCCAGTTTAAAAGCAGGCATTTTGTTCTATTTTTGAAATTATTGAAGAATATGTAGTGAGTATGAATCGCCAAGATTCAGACTCAATATTGGTGAGGAGTACAAGGACTGTATAAAAAGAATACAATGTAAAGAAGGGAACTATATTTATATCACGTAGAATTCAATAATTAATACACTAGTACACTAGTTACTAAGATTACAAAAAAACCACTTAGCCTAGTGGTGATAATTACAGTATATACAATGGCAAGTACATGTTGAGACCACTGACACGTTCATTGAATCTTGTTCAATCCAACAATAAAAAAAAGCAGTCAGGAACAGGCACACTGTACATGAGTATGAATTATTTAGTTAATCTTCCCTTCCTAAGCAACAGTTCTTCAGCTTTTATATCTCATTTCACTACAACTAACCCCAGACCAACGAGTGGTTGCTGAAGACGGAGGCATGCAACAAATGGAACATTTTACAAGCAAAAATATTGTGACAGTATAAGAAATATAGATAATATAAAAATATAGAACAATTTAGTGATGGAGCACTATAAATATTTTGTTCATTTGAAGCTCAAGTTTGTAGAGTTAATGAATATTCAGTTTGTCTCTGTTATCAGAAAATTCCATGGTAATATTAAATTTTAAGACAGGTAATGATTAGTAAATACTACTAATTTTTAAATAAACAAGCTCATGTACCGAAAAAACCAGCAGGATATCCATTTAATATGGAAGGAAACATGTGCTAATGTGAGTTTTTGTAGTTTGTAAGCTTGTTTATTTAAATTTTAAAATATTTCATTTTTAGAAAATAAATTCTATAAATTTCTGCATTATGAAAATCTGAATTACTCAATTTTATAGCATTATATATTTTTTTAATCAAGTAGTAATGGACAGCAAGATCACACATCTTACGATGATGACGAATGGGATGAATACTGTAATGATGCATTAGTAGATAATGGCGAACCAGGAGTCCCAGTGAAAGCTCTCTATGAATATACGGCAACGGAAGCAGATGAGTTATCATTTAAACAAGGTAAACCGAATTAGGAATTATTTTGTTGTCATTAAATAATAAATGTAGATTTATTATAATATAATTAGAAGTTAAGAGTTCTTTTAATTGCAATAAAAAATATTTAGATTGTTCTCTAGAGTCAGAGATTAAGAGAAGACAGAATTGAATAAAAGTATAATGTAAAATTATAAACTTATATTCTAAATAATAAGAATAAATTATAACTGAAACTCAAAATAAAAATATTAAATTCTAGAATTAATATGCCCAACTGTTTTTTTTCATTTAGGAGATGTATTTGAAAAATTAGAGGACGAAGATGATCAAGGATGGTGCAAGGGACGCAAAGATGGAAAAATCGGATTGTATCCAGCAAATTACGTCGAATTAGTTCATAATTAATATCAGGAAACAATATTATAAATATATAACAGAAACATATATACACAGTATATATGTAAGAATGAAAGAAAAAATTTGATTTATTCATTGTGCCAATGTTTATTGTTAAGTATGGCTATTGATGCTTGACTATTATACAAAAAGTTCACATTTATGTGAATGAGTGGAAAAGTATGTTTTTATTTAAATGTGTTTAGTTTTTGTGTACAGTTGTCCTGACGTAACGATTTGATAATTTTGGTTTTCATGACATTTTAATTTCCCGTTTTCGAGACATGCCATTTCAATCGACGTCAAAGGTAAAATTCTATCGTTTCTATTTTCATCTACATAGAAGGTAGGAATTATATTATCAATATGCTTGAAATAAATATAACAAAAAAATCAAATGAAAATATATAAGCAATTAAAATATAATCTTAACAAAAGATTTATTGAAAGATATTGTTTTAAATATCACTGTAATATATGTCTGATTACTGTTTGTCTAGATATATTAATATTTAACATATATAACTCCTTCAATTTATGTAATTATTTTGTATTAAGCATCATAGATGTGCTCAAATGAGAGATCATTTTTAAATTTGTGAAAATATTTTAACATTTATATCTTTCAAAACAAATCAGGAAATTTTTGATGATGACAATACAGCAGAGTCTTGATTATCTGGCATAAATGTTAATAGTAGCAGTTCTGATAACACAAATATACGAAATTTGAGCTGCATTTGGAAGTAAATTGTTAGTATCAGTAATGTAATAAAACCTTCATTTACTTGTCTGCCATGCTATGTGCAATGTATACTCTAAGAAAACAAGTTCCATACGAAGTAAGGCATTTAGAAAGGAAGAATATTACTGTTTGATGCTTGCACATAGTTCTAAACTGTACAGATTTCAGTCAAAAACATTTTTCAAAATGTCTAGGGCAAAAAAGGCAAGAAAAAAACTGTTTAAGATAATCAGAAACCAGATAATCAGGACTCTACTGTAATTTAAAATAACTTGCATTATAAATTCACAGGTAAAGACGTAATTTATATTAATTGTAACAAGATTACTAATTTACGTATTTTAAAATTTTTGATAATTTAGTCAGTTACAAAACAATTTTACATTGAAGTAACAAAACAGAGAAAAAATAACTGTTTTTTATAATTTTGTTGTGCACCATTTGAAAATATGCTCTTTTAATATCAAAAAAACAAAACAAAGTCGATCCTAAACAGTTTCCAATATTTCAATTTTTCACAAATAAAATAATAAAAATACACTTTCTATTGCTCACATTAATAAAATTTTAGAAATAATTTTACAATAAATAAATAAAAATAAATAAATAAATAAAGTACAAATCTCAAAATCTTATATTTCTCATAAAGAAAAATGATTACGAGACGCTTCTTAAAAATATTTTAATTTTTTATTGTTAGATTGATTTTTTTTAATTAAAAAATATATTTATCATTCTATGAATATATTTATCATCATTTACATTACTTTTCAGGATATAATTTAATTATAAATTGAGTATTCTTTGCATCGGTAAGATGAATAATTGATTTATATATATGCAAGATCAAACTGGAACAGTATAATCTTGTGCCAAACTTCTAAACATTAAAATATGTACAGATCCTTTCACACATCTTGACTGGGCATTGCATTTTACTTGGGGCTCTGGAAGTTTTAAAATGTTCAAGAGTTCTTTTTTTGGCAATTACGGTGACCTTGTCAAAGATTTGCCAAACAATTTGTTTCCTTTATTAAGTAAATAGACCGATTCCTGTTACTGCACATTTTATAGCCCAACTATGATTTGTGAAAGAAGCTGTACACAAATAAGAAATAAGAATCTGTAAGATATTTATCAAATATTTTATAATAGTGAACCAAGTTCAACAAGATGACCCAGTGAAAAGTTTACTTGCAAAGAAGAGTTGAGGAAGCTAGATTTTTGAATAATGAGCTTTCAATCTCTTTCCATCCTTTGGACACTAAGAGGGCCATTTCTGCATACCTGTTGAAGATTTGGTTAGGCCCACAATGGGAGCAACTGGGTGGTGAGGGATAGGACCCGATATATCTGGGGCACACCACTTGAAAAGTTTGTAGAGTTGATTGCCGAGATTCGATTCCGAGGCTCCACAATGGTAGGCCGACACCTTAACTGTCTCGACCATTAAATTGTTTTGTATTTTAAAGTATCCAAATCAATTTATTGTAAAAGAAGAGCACAATAAGATTATAATGTTTAGCTGGTTCCAATTTAAGATCTTAACTAAGATCTTAACTAAGTGTGATTTTTAACTTAGTTAAAAATCGAAGTAAGTAGACATAATATACAAACAACTCTTTGTTTTTAAGATAATTCATTAGAAATATTTGTTGATTTTCTTGTATTATAATTAAATTAATAATGGCATTGTAAATAATTTTGTGAATGATTTTTATACTGTTTTTTAGAGGCAAATAATGTAAAAATTATAAATTTTCTAAACTACTAATATTGTACATACATCAATTTTTTTATATATTTTAATGATAGAAATAGTTATATGGAAAATGTTGCTTAATGTCAAATTCTTCAAACTCAAAATGAACAATTGTTTCAGTAACCTTACATCCAACCAGCAGGGCAATTTGATGTAATGTTACAGAAATTTTTAAAGCTATCTTAAAGGGCAATTGCATCAATTACAAGCTTCAGTAATCTGTTTCTAGAGCATGGCAAGCCTGTTTGATTTGTTACTGTGAGCCAGTACGTATCCAATAAAACTTGCTAATTTTGACAATGTAATCATATTTACTCTTCAAATTCTATAAGATCAAGTTTTTAATGTTCACATTACAAGGTATGTTTGCATTCCATTTTACAACTTGGTTGTTTCTTAGGAAGTCCTTTGGTGTAGGCCAAAAGTGTTTGAAAAATTACTTGTAAAAACACTTAATCACTAGACTTTTTGGGCTGTACTTAGGTTAAAAACTAATTAAATGAAGTAATTATGTAGTTTGGCTTAAATTGTCAGTAATTTAAGCCAAACTATTTGATTAAGCATACAAATACAAATACTAGCTAGTAACTAACTAAATTAAGCATATTAAGTATGGCCTGAGAACTGATGATTAGGTATTTGTATATTACACTTGGTTTATGGGAAAACAGTTGATATTTTTATCATTATTAATCTCTTAGTATCCTTAGGATGAAAAAATCTCTTTTTGTAGTCATAATGGATTCAAGTAGGATTCAATTAATCTGGTCAAACAACTTAAGAAAAATCTGTTAAATTAAAATTCAAACAAGATGCAAATCACATTATATTAAAAGACGAAATCAATAAAGAATATGGGTTCAAATTGAAATCGGGTCTTCCTATTTTTGTGGATGTCAGATCAATGCTTCATTCCTTGTCTTTTGATCACAGTCATTGGTTTCTGTATTCCAGATATTAGCCCTGTAGCCTATTACAAATTATTGTCTTGCCTAAATAATGCAGTTGGAATATTATCCTTCAGTTTAATTCCCTAGATCTTCCTCATTCTGAGTCACATTAAGAGTAGGATTTGCAAGATGTAAAGTTTTTGTAAAGGTATATTGTCAAAAAAATGAGAAATATTTCATCATCAAGAATTTGTATCCATTCCTAATTGCCTTAAATGCCCCTGGCACATGGGCAATATAACCAGTATGATCTTGCATTTAATTAATTCTTTATTTAAAAATATATTTATGTTGAAAAATGTATATTTACTTTAACCGTTCGAAAAATATAATCCAACAAATACAAATACGTCTATCCAAAAATTGAAATAAGTATTGATGCCAACATTAAAAATAAATATTTTCTCGAATGTAAATTTGTTAATCGTGAGAAAATCTTGGCTCTTTAATGAATTTGTTAAAATTTTTGACCAAATCTTGAGAAAATATATCAAAGTAACTTCCAAATAATAAATAGCCTTATATAACCATAAATCATAGTGTACGAGTATGTCTATGCATATTAATATTTTCTCCTCGTACGTGAATTTGAAACACAAATTCTCTTTGTTAGATTTAGAATTGTTAATATAGAAATAAGAGCAATATATATAAAGTGTTGTGCATATTGAAAACTTTTTCCTGGACTGTTATGTAAAATCTGTAAGTTAAGTTTTATTTTATTTTAGAAGAGAAAATACTTTCTTTAACAAGTTTGCTACCAATCACACGATAAACTTTGCTATAATCAAGGATGTCTTGATTGTAATGCAGTTTATTACTTAGCCTTTAATTTTTCTAATTTTTAAATATTTATTTGGCCCCAATTCATATAAAATAATATAAACCAACAGTATCTTGGATAATAAACTCAGATAACAGAAAATTTTTAATACAAAACTAACATAAGTATACAGAAGCTACAGTAAGGGTCTAGAAGAGCTGCAGTTTGAACACCCTGGATCTATACTGTATATTCTTTGTTGACAAAGTGCACTTCCGTAATTTGCCTTGGATAATGTGAAGTTTTAAGTAATCTAATTATAAAATAGCCCTAATTAACTGTTTAAACATGTCTAATTTAAAGTTATTAATGTTCATTTGTCCTTCTTTGGGCCAGAATATTATTTGATTAATCTTGGAAATATATGACTCTCTCATTTACCAATTGTGGAATTTCTATAGACTTTACCTTCTTATCACTTAAGGTAAATTATAATTTCATATTAAATCTGGCTAAAATAGCCTTGAAAACAATCAATTTTGATAGTTTGAAAGTTCATTAGATTCAGACAGATCCAAAGGAGGCTCTGAAACTTTGATTTGACTTCTTAAGTAGTAGGTGGAATTTCTGTTGAAATGAAAATTATATGAATCTGTTGAGAGAGATTCAACTTGCATAGCTAAATTCTAAGTCAGCTGATACCTAAGCCATTATTTATTAATTTTCATTTCAATAATAGTTAACATGATGATCATGCAGATGTACGAGGATTCCAGGCTAGAATCCTCAAGATAATTCAGAATGATGTACCCATCTCTATAAGTAGGCAAGTGGCAAAACTGTCACGCTTCAAAGGACCAGAGTTTCATTCTGGATCAAATGCTCAAGAATTTTTTGTGAATAATCTCATGTTGGATTTTCTCTCTCTCAATATTCAGCAATCGACTTTGAGGACACAGCTAAATCTGTAATGGGCAGAAAATAAGCATCTTCCCTGTAATCACAGGAAAAGAGAAACATTTAAAATAATCTTTCATTCACGATAACTTCATTGCCAATCAGGTCCATCCAATGGACAAAACTAAAACCAGCCATATAGCTTGCATGATGGTGCCTTGCAGAAAAATCCAATCCAATGCTTTATATCAATATTACTCCATTAAAAATTCACCAATACCCCTTTTGATCCATCAACCATATACCTCTTGTACCAAATATTGTTACAAAAACTAAAAATTGGTAGCTCAATATCTTCCATAGAAGCTCATTAAGTTAACAGACATTTAAAGATCTTGTAATTTCTTAATGTTCTGCCTTAAGATCCCAATATGGAGGTAAACTCCTGTAGTGCTTTGGTAGCAAGCATGTTAAAATTTTAAAACTTAACTACAGATTTTAAAGATAGAGCCAAAAAGTTTTAATACTGTAATATAATTTAGACCAAAATGATGCTATGCTTCTTAATTTTTATACATTTACAAGCAATGCACAAACTTGAGCTGCTACAATTAGATAAACAAGAAAAATTTTAATTAAATTTTCTAAAAAAATTAAACAATTTGAAGCTTAACCAATTGAAAACAAATTCACTAAGCATTTACAAAAGAGTGATATCGACACACTGTTACATTATTTTATTAATTTCCAATTTTACTAAAAGACTTGTATCATATGCTTTCATCTCTTGTAAATATCATATTTAACACATGCTTAATTCAACATTTTCTCATAATTATAATTGATTATCATATTCATTTTTAAGTAAGTTTTCCTAATCAATTTAGATTTATTAATGCATAAATTATTCTTCTATTTTCTCTAATTTATAGATGAATGTTTAAATACTAATTATAACTCATTAGAACTTTTCCACAGATTAGATATAATACAGAACAATCTGAAATCCAGAAATCTTATAAATTAATTTAAGATAATTCACAAATATTTGGTTAAATGCTAGAAGTTATGTAAGGCTCTGTATAATCTTATAATAGCCTGATAAAAAGGCACTGTAGACATTATAAAAAATTATTTGTAGCCTGATAATAACCTTAAAAAATTTGAATTCATAACCTAAATATTTTATTTGTAATTCAAAATCTATTCACAGAATGAAAACTTATTAGAAAACTCTAGCACTTTTAGGAGTATGCCTATTGTATCCAGGATGAATTACAGTGATAATATACAAATTATATGTTGCAAGAAAACCTTAATTAAAACAGGTGTGCACACCTTTTTTTTATTATTTTTGATCTATTTCTTAGAACACAGTTAAGCGTAATGATGTTCCAAGTATATTATAGAATGTACTCAGACATACATTGTTATCTTGTGTTATTTATATAATGTATGTAACAATAATAAATATTTGTATATCTAAATAGAAAAGATACAGGTGGCTATGAATTTTTTAGCTTGGATTGTAATGGTTCCCAAATAAAAGCATGTTACTTGAAGCATGTATTTGAACACTTCACAGACCCTCTGGAATTGGTCTTTAGACCAAAATGATCTGGAGTCATCCCAGTTTTGGATAAAACTGAAAAAGTGAACTAAAAATCACACACTACACCACTATTGGATAAACAGAAGTAAAAAATAATTGGGGTTATTACTGCACAATCCCAATTTTTTAAACAGAAAAGTTAAGTTTGCAAAATAGTAAATTAGTGTCTCTCATCAGGAGTTTGAGAAATTTCTGTTGACGGTATGTAGCCTAAAAGTATTAGAGTTTCTTTCAGTAAAACGTTTCACTCTGAGAAAAGCAATTTGAACTGGATTTAAGTTTCTGAAGCTTCTTAAGTATGTTACAAAAATATTTTCGAAATATTAACAAAACAAGATTTCAGATTGTTCATTGTATAACTCTTGTACAGTGACACAAATCAAACCAAATTAAACTGAATCATTAATTGCAAACACAGATTTTCATGTAAGTCTTACTCGGAATCCTGTTTAAATGTATTAATTTTTACATATCAAATAAATAAATGTACATGAGAATGGCTTTAAAAGATTGCTATAATCAATTAAAAGGTTTTAGTGCTCACTTTGTAAGCTAGATTAAAAAAAAAATAGCAAAATTTTTACAGATTTTCTATCTTTATTTTGTTGTGGGTTTACATATCTGTATTGATTTAAATGTTTATAAAGGAGGTTCAATAATTAACAGTAAGGCCATTGAATTTCTTTATATTAATTTGTTATTGATAAAATTCAAAATGACTTTTTTTCAATGTGTAATGTTCAAGTTAACATTTTATGTTGTTTTAATATGTAATGCCTGAAAGTTGAGATGAACATTCATAAATTAATATAATTATACCAAATTATGCTTAAATTAAATTAATGTAGTTCTATCTGGATTACTATTTTTATATATTAAACACTAAAATGATTAAATTTAATTTTCTGAACTTTAAATAATTATATAAATAAATAATCTGCGTTTATTTATATTATATATCATATTGTTATGCTAGTCCAGTGTTTTCCAACATCAGATTGCATACTTTTGGTGATGTCACAGTCTTCCAGTACACTATAAAAGAGTTGCTGTTGCTAATTAAGGAGAGTTGGGAAACACATAAATATGGATTAATAGTGTCGTGATATTTGGAGTTGCTTTGTAAAATGAAATAGTGACGATCTTGATCTGAACATGTTCTAATTATGATTAAAAAATCAAGAGCCTGCCTTTCAATTTTTTTACGAGCTGAAAAGAAAATTAATAAAAAAATATTCCAATAATCAGGGAATAATGTTAACGTCAATATTTTAAAGCTGTTCTCATCTATATTCATTTTGATCTAAAAGAATTAAATTTTTTTTTCCAAAAATCCGAGAATTTTTATATTGATGTCTTGCAATCTATTTTTATAATTTAGAATTTAGTTTATTATGTTTCATTATAAAATTTGATAGTTGGACATTTTTATGGTAACATAAAAATTTGCTCCTATCATTTTATAATTTGTTCCAACTAAAATGTTATCGACTAAATTCTGTTGAATTACCTATATTTGATATAAAAATAAAAAAATATCAGCTATTTTTGATGAAAAGTTGTAAAAAAAAATATATTATATTATATTGTAGTATAAGATTCTAACAATGTTGAAATTTCTTATAGTTAAAATGTATATTCTAATATTTGTCTCAGGAATATATGAGATTCTATATTCATTTGTACTGTTGTTGCAGACTTTGGCCCTTGTATATTATATAAAAAAATCAGGGTCTACAATATGTGCGTATAATAACAAGAATGTAAATTCCCTTTCTTCAATACGATGAATCCAGAATGCATTCAAAACAAAAGGGAATGTGTCGCCAATATAATCTTGGTTGTTACTAGTGTGTAACAGATTTTAGAAAATAAACACCTGTGATTTGTTAACTAAGCAATATTATAATAAATAAATATATTATACATATAAATATATATACATATTGCTCCTTGTTAATCATACAAGTTTATTCCTTGTTGTAAAACAGTAATTTGTAATCATGAGTGATCAGAATGTCATGACAAGAATTCTAACAAAACTGAATATTCTTGTTAAAACTATAAATAATTGATCATAATATATCATGTCTCCTATATTGTATATTTGAGATTAAAGTGTGTTGTATGAGTAGTTTTTGTATTATTATTTAAAAAAGAATCAAAGGCTTGTTTAATAAATTCTACATGCTAATTCACTGTGTATAGAAATAACAGCCTGAAAAAATTACATTGTGTACAGTACATTTAATGTGTGGTGTTTTTTCTAATTCAAATTAATGCAAAAACAAAATAAATAGTATTAAACAAATAGTATTTAAACAAAAATACGTTATTTGCTACTTAAGTACATTTTTATTATGCTACTTGGAAAAACTTATGTTGGCTATAAATAGAGATATAACTGATGATGATAAACTGAAGAACAAATTCATAAATGAAACTATTGATAGAGTGCCTTTACATTGCTGTTTTTTTGTTTTGGAAAGTTGATGCAACTGTTCTCACTAAGAATTTATAGGATATGGTTTTGGACCAGTTTAAAGGTGGTTTACACTTGCTCAAAACTTTATTTAGATATAAGAAATTCACTATGGATGATGACATTATGTATGAAATTGTAACGAAGAGACAGTGATTTTCAAATGGATCCACTTTTGAATAAGCAGGGAAAGATAATTTTTCTGACAATGTACTGTACCATTTTTCCAATCAACCTAATGTTTTGTTTCTTAGAATGTTAATTTCTCTGACAATAAAATGGATGCAAATTTTAAAAATTTAACCTTAAAAAAATGTTTAAATAATTAAAGGTTAAATTTTTAAAAATTTGCATCTTACATATACGCACATTATTTTAGCAAAATGGCATTATTAACATTTCAAGTGTCATTAAAATATCAGTTTATTAAAACATTACAATAAAATTCAATTAAAAAATATAACTTTATTAACAAGATTTTATACATTTGATGTAAAACAATAAAAACAAACCTGAACTTTTAATTTTGAATAAAAATTCACATCTAATTTAAGCAATACTTGTTCTTAATTTTTTCTTTTGCTAATAATTTCTTGATTAAACGTTTCCAATTATCATATATTCTTTTCTCTCTTTTCTGCAAATTCAAAACATTATTAATAAATTAATCTTATTGAAAAAATCATCATCATACAGGATATATGGTAAAAATATAGACAATTACATTTTTAATGATAAAGAATAGCCATTTTAATTTCTCTCTTATAATTTAAAATAGTTTTATTATATTGTTAAACTCTAGAATGAATGTGATAATTTCTTTTCATGTGTAAGTATAATAGAATCAAATAGAATGTATTGTACTTTGTTCTCATTACTGTCATTTTGTGTGTGGTACTATAAAGGAATGCTAGACATTTCAAAAAGAAATTCACTCTGATGAATTCTTGCAAGAGAAATTTCAAACCACTGCTTGTTTATTTTCCAAATAAAACAAAAGATTTTTACAGATAAAACTTAGTTAATATACTTAAGAATTCTTGAAGCTGTTTACATGATGAATGAATAAATTAAATAAAACTACAATCAACACTTGCCAAATTTAGTTGAATGACAATTTAATGATAAGATACGGAACATATGAAAAATTTGAGTCCACAAAAGGTTCAGATCTGAAACCGTGGCCTAAAGGTAACAAATTCCACTTAACTGTATTTGCAGGGGTGGCGTAAGGCGTGGGCGACGTGGGCCACCGCCTACGGCCTCGCGCCTCGAAGGTTTACACATTACTTAAAAAAGCTGTGAACGCAACGGAAAAATTTTACTCGTCATAAAACGATAAATATATTGACATAAGAGACCAAGAAAACGAAAGGCTAATTCGTGAATCTCAAAAACATTAGCACAATTTGTTTGAGAGATTAATTGATATCATTAATTTCTTATCCTCTCATAATCTGGCATTAAGAGGTCACAGAGAATCTCTCAAGACAGACGACGGCACTAGGAATTCTGGTAACTTAATAGACTTATTTAACACCACGATTGGTTCTATAATAAGCAATATGGATTCGAGATTTATGTCTTTAAATCGACATTTTGAAAATTTTGGTTCTCTCTATGATCTAAGCGAGTTAAAAAATATTCCAAAAGAGCAAATATTAAAAACTGTCAAGATTTACACTCAGTCCTGCGAGTGGGTGAGAGCAGTGACTTCCAACCTACGCTGAAAGGAGCTTTTCAAAATTAAAACTAATAAAAAATTATTTAAGAAATACAATGGGCCTGGAAAGACTTTCAGCTTTGGCACTTTTATCTATTGAAGCATATATAGCATCTAAGCTAAATTACGATACAATTATTAAGGAGTTTTTTTTTAAGGAGTTCAGTAAAGCTAAAAGCAGGAAATTTCTGTTTCTTTAATTCTTTTTTTATTTTTATTTTTTTTTAATTTTTTTAATGTTAGTCAAAGAATATAATTTGCATTTTTATGAATAAAAATTTGACAGTTTGAACTGCTTTTTATTTTATAAAATCCGTCTTCTTGCACCACCAGAGGGCCTTGCGAAATGTACCTTGCCCACGTCAAATTTAGGTCTTGCTCTGCCACTGTGTATTTGATGTACTAACAGATTTTCAATCCTAATATAAAATCCAGAAATAAAGAAAGTTCAAAATAATTGCAAACAAGTTATTAAGCATGCCTTGAACAGTAAACAAAACACTCAAAACAAACTCTAGTGTATAAAAACTAAGTGATTTTCAATTAGAATGTTGCAACAATGGTTTCTCACAGATAATAGTGGTATTGGAAAGTTTCAACATTTAAGGATACTTATCTTGGTATTTAAGTTTCTCAGAGATAAATAAAAGAGAAGCTGAAAACATGATGATATATGAATTGCCTTGTCAATAATACAACTGAATATTAAATTAAGACCATCTGTAATTATCAATAAGCTCAAATTTTCCATTAAAAAGCAATTTAGAGCAATAATCAATTTAAAATGTTTTATTTTACAATTTTATAAGCAAACCATACTAGTATATTTAAACAGTTTGTAAATGTTATGGATGCATTATTACAAAAATGATATTAAAAACTAAAAATGAAAGTTTATCATCATCATTCATCCTAAGATGGAAAAGACACCCATAACCTGAACAGACTACTGGGAATATATACCATCCCCTTAGTAGACAACAGATGGCAGAGGCAACTAATTTACATAGGATCCACTAAACCACTAGGATAAAAGAACATAAAGCAGATATCATCCACAACAAATCTACGATAGCATTATCTACAAATATATGCAACAAACCTGGACATAACCCTGACTTTTAATGAGGCAAGGGTTATCCACACCACTTGTTATCAGGAACATCTAAGAACTTGGAAGTGATGGAGATTTACAAAGCAGATTGCAAATTAACCTGCGTCAATTTTAAAGAAGAAATGAATCTCTCAACAGCGTGGCAGTATTTATTGGATGAAAAATTGTAATTTGTTATATGATACACGGGATTATTATAGGATGCGCACATCATATCTCCACTAGTATAAATTATAAAAAATTATATTTTGAAACGGCACGTGATTGCCTTTCTTATTTGAACTTCTAGAAACGAAGCATGCTCTTATTTAAAAACATTCAATTTAAAAATCCAGTACAGTAAATTTGGCCTGAAGAAGAGCCCAGGAGGGGCATCGAAAGCATTTGCCAATCTTTGTTTGGAGTTTTCATGCCGGATATTGGTTACAGAGTATACATATTTTTGAATATAATTTTGATATCTAAATTTATCAAAGTATCTTTTTAGTTAGTATCTAAAGAAATGTTTTAGAAAACAGTGTTTTTCATACTTTGCATTTTACCAATAACAAAATTCAAGGTTGGAGTCACTAGAGGCGAAAGAATTTTACCGACTTGATTCTATCCTAAAACATCAACTCCAGCAGCTCCGACTTCATAATGCTGGAAAAAACACCTAAATTCGCCTTGTCCATTAACATTAAATTGGAATGTCTCAATGCTAAATTCTTATGGAAACTACCATAATGTAAACCCATATTCAATTTTATATTATAAATTTACCGAATTTAGAAATTTTTCTGATTATTATTATTTGATACTTGATAACAATAATAATAATAATATAATGTACTAACTTCTTTCTCACGTTGCTGTTGAATTTCTTGATCTTCTTCCCAAGCAGCAATTAACACATCACGAAATTCTTCACATACAACCACACCATCAAAACTATAAAGATTAAAATTATTTAATGTTGTGAATTGGCAGACAATACTATAAAATTTATAAATAATCATATTAAGAAACTGCGATAAAACAATAATGTTTTATGAATACTTAATGGATATTGCATTAAAGAATTTCAAACTTTATTAAAGTTATTCGTAGATTTTATTGAAGAATAATAAATTTATGAACTTCTTTTGATATGCTTCATAGATGAACATTATCAAGTGATTGACTACTGTCAAATTTCTCTTTATTATGCAAAAACATCGCAATGATCTTGCACTTTTACATTCAATTTTCATTTGGTTTCACTCCTAGACAATTAGTTTTAAGGAAAAATAACTTTTTAATTATTAGTGTGTTCATTTTGAAGAATTTAAATTTAATTAAAGTCAGAGGAAAGAAAAACATATCAGAGTTTTAATGGCTTTAGAAAAATGTGAATCATGGTATTTGAAGTGAATATGTTTACAGAAATAGATCAGTCCAATGGATGATTCGTGCAAAATTTTTTAAAAATATAAAATTGTAATCCTTGCTGTATGTAAATTGAAGACTGATGAGGGATGAGTTGCATCTGAAGTGGTTGTAACAGTAATTATACCATATATTATCCATATACAAGATAGCTTCAAAAAGTTCCTGGAATTGTTTTATTACTGAAAAGTATGTGTACAATTGATAAATCAAGCAATGTGTCCTTCAAAGTATTGTCCTTCGGCAACCACACTCTTTTGCTAATGATGTTATAGCTGCTGAAAGCATTCTTGAAAGTTGTCTCGCGACAGCACCTGCAATGAAGATATCGCACTCTGTGGATCAAGGATCACCACTTGATGGCGATCCTTGATGGCATCTTTCAACTGGGGAAAGAGGTAGAAATTGCACAGTGCAAGATCCAGAGAGTACGGAGGATGCTCCAATGTGATCACTCCATGTTTGGTGTGATCTCCATGACAATGCCATGGATGTTTTTAGTGGCTGGCTTCTCTGAGATGGTGAAGGACAATGACATACATCTCCTTGTACACTGTGCAACTCTTGTGCATAAGCTTGAAGTGAACAATCCCATGGGAGTCAAAGAAAACCTCCAACATGACTTTCCACTTATTCCTGTCCTGCAGTGAGCTGAGCAACTTTCATTCTGTGGACTGTCATTTTGGTTGAGGATCATAAAAGAAACACCAGGTTTCATCACCTGTGATAATGTTGTCAAGAAATTCCAGATTCTTATTGGGCGGTTTGATGAGATCTCTACATAATGTCTTGCAAGCAGGGGCAGATCTAAGTTTTTTGGGGCCTAGGGCTTATTGAAGCCCAATGGGGCCCCATTTTTTGTTAATACAAATAATATTAATAATATAATAATGATGATGATTTATAGTATTAAATAGTTTTTACTATATGATAAATGCTCATTGTTAATGAAAAAGTATTAAAAATTTATGATAATTCAATTTTTGGGGCCCTTGACAATTGGAGGCCCATGGCTTAAGCCCTATTAGTCCCTATGTAGATCCACCCCTGCTTGCAAGTCTCTGGTCCATCATGAGCATTTGTGGCACCATATGTTGGCAAACATGGTGCATGTTCAATTGATCATGCAGGATGGAATGACATCTTCCAATCAAAATTCCTACTGTCTTGGTGATCTGCTCAATTGACTCCATCTGTCTGACCTTACAATCTTGTGTACAACCAACACTTTCTCCTCAGACATTGATGTTGATGGACAACCACTTTGCAAATCATCAGCAACACTTTTTCATCCCTCCTTATGCCAGTCATAAACTTGAGAATGCTTTGTGGCAGATTCAACAAAGACATCCTGAAGCATCTTCAAGGTCTCAGAGTGTTTTCCCCCAATTTGATATTTGCACATAGTTCTTCCATAGACATTTTTGCCAGACTCTGTTTCATGTCTCACTAACCTGACCTTAAGTGAATGGTAACTGTTGTATCTTTGCAGTGAGTACAGATTTGTTTGAATATGTTTCTCTATTCCTGACATATTTAGCTAAGACATGCATTACATGTTCCCTTTTTTCATTGCTTTTAATTGACTAACCCAGCATAATTCCAGGAACTTTTTGAAGCTACCTTCTATATCTTTGATATGTAATTGGCTAGTAATATTCTCAACATGGATAAAAGATTTTCCTTTAGCCCATTTTTAGACTGGGAAAAGGACGGTTCCTCATCATGTTCAAAGTCAGTTTACATATGGTCTTCTGAATATATTGGTTTGGAAATTAAAAAGTAAAGTCCACATAAAATAACAAAAAATATGTAGAAAAATAGATGAATATATCAATTACTATCTCATCAGTTTAAAATTTTAACTGATTCTGATTTACTGAACTGATAACTGAACTGATTTACATTCATTTTCAGAAAAATAATTTTTCTACAAAATTGTTTTATTTAAATATTCAAATGCAAAATTCATTCATAGTGACTGAAGAAACCACAATGAAATTAATAAGAACATAATCTTAATCTGTATTTGATTTTTACTATGTTTGATGATGATTATATACTTACACTGGATGTGAATGCCCCCAATTTCCATCAAATCCAACCATAGCTGCAGCACAGTCGATATTCAGCTTTCGAGCTATTCTAATAAGTCCTGGAACTAAATTTGTAATCAATGATTGATTAGTCAATAGTCTGCTGTAAATAATACTAATTATATCATTTCTTTAAAAAAAAGACTCATAAAAATACTTTAAAAAGTGACCAAAAACCTAAAAATAGTGACAATTACTGCTTAAAAGAATGACCATATCAAAAGATAAAAAGACATACTTCCTAAAATTTTAAATGACGATACAGCTGTAGACCAGGATTCATATTAAAATATAAAAACACTTGTACATAAACTAAAGTATATCACAACAATGATAACATTACTCATATACATATATAAATATACTGTATATCTCCAACCAAAGACATGCTCTGTTATGCTGTTAGATACAGTAATAGACATTCATATGTATTAAATTTCTATGCCTTAACTTTTTTTAAGTATTGTACTAGAATTAATATATTATAACTGAGATGGAAGCATTAATAGCCTTTTCTAAGTAGCTTACAGAACTGTATTTGTTTTCAAAATTTTATCAATCAATTTTGAATAAACTTTACCATTTTCCATTAATTGCAATGAGAAATCCAAAAATGTAATAAAAACAGGGGTCCGTGATTTCATTTTCAAGATACAGTGGGGTCAAAGTGATAATGTCCATGCTCCTTGACATGATTCAGCACACCTAATGGAATTTAGGGGGAAAACAGCATTACATGCACCTAACGGAAAATGGTAGCGAAAAATGAACAAAACACAAGAACAAACCAATCAGCATCAATTACTTTGTTCCTGGATTGCCTCCTCTGTAAAGGCAAGTGCAAGGATCATCTCTTTCTTTCCGGCTCCACCTCAATCCTATCATGATACAACAACATTGTGCAATTTTCTAGCTTAAGGTATTTATCTTTTTATTCTTTCCCTACCAGGTGTGATCAGTTATCTGAAATTGCCTGCTCTTATTATTTTGAATAATGATACTCTACTGTATTTTGTAGCTTGTGAAGTTAATAAACTGTATACCTTATGCTTCTATAAGAAATCAAGATTAGTTGAAATTATGAGATTACACTACTTATGAGAAATTACTGTTTTTGTATCAAGAAAGCATTAGCAGGCATTGGAATACAAATTGACTTCGAAATAAGGGAGAATAGCAACTCCAAGCAAGGAAAAAGTAACTAAACAGTGACCAAAATAAAATTAGTTGGCCATGATAATATACATTATTTGTAAGGAGTTGAGTCTGAATGTTATTTTATGTTTATGGGTTTTGTTTCATTTGATGTTATAATTTAGTTTCAGAACATTTTCTTTTTTTTTTTAAAAGACAACAACTTATTTTCATTATTAATTACAAATAAAGCAATCATAATTTGTAATTATGACCAGAAAATACCACAAATTGAGCTTCTGGCTATTGGCACTGTTTGTCACAGTGGCTTAATTTAAGACTAATGCTTGCACAGGGTCTAGACATTTGTAAGCATTTCTTGCATGAAAAATTCATTTCTTGCTTCTGCATAAATGGTGTCATAATTGTGAATTCTAGTCCGAAAACCGAAAATTCATTTTCACGTGTATTTCCATCTTCTCGCATTTACATAAATGCAGCCTTATAGTGAAGACTCCAATAGATGCGAGTCTCTGGTGAAACCAAAACCCCAAAATCTCTGGTTTTGTTTTCAAGTGCATTGTATCCGAGTCAGTTGAACAAAATTAGTGAAAGGAGTCATTAATGTGTTGACAGCTATCCGATGTGTTGGTGGTCATGCTAGTTAGAGCCACGCAGAATTATTCAACCGTCCGACATCACTATAACCAATGTAGTTTCACTCAAGGTTAAATTATCCTGGCTTTGTAAGACGCTTTACATCCTAGTGGTGGCTTCTCGTGCACATCTATAAAGTTGGCTCTGACCGCCAGCAGTTGTATGGCTATGTGAAGCCGTGATTGGTATGACTGCCAGCATGCCAGATGGCAATCAATGTGTTAATAATTATCCTTTGCTATATCTGTATATTTTTATCTGTTCTTTATTCAGTTTTTTTATTTTTGGTAAAACATAACTGTAAGCTAATAAGCACCAGGTCGGTTAGCCAGTTCAGTAATTAAATGTGGGAGGTGTCTATTAGAAGATATATGCCATGTCTCCCTCTCAAAAAAATATTGAGAGAAATATCACCTGTATATTTATCTTAAATTTTGTTATCTTAAATTTTGCAAAGTTAAATTTTTAATTTTGCAAAGTTTTGCAAAGTTATCTTAAATTTTGCAAAGTTAAATTTTTAATTGGTTAAAATTATTAATTAGAAAAAGTTTTCAGTGTCTCAGAATTATTAAAAAACTTAAAATACATTTCATTAAAAAAAATCCAGAAATGAAATGCATAACTTTCCTGGCAAAAAACAATATGTAATAGAAGAAATTTAAAATTAGTTTACAGCACCATCCATTATGAGATTTTGTTAAAAGACAACTTATATATTATATTAATAATTACAAAACTGCAAATAATTTAATTTTGAGGGTAGAGATGAGTTTTATATAAAATTATAAATGCTAATGATGAGTAAAATCTTCATGCAGTCCGATTCTACTCGAGTTATGACACGTGATCCCTTTTTACCTTCCCACTCCTTGATCTATAACAACAAAAATTTAATAGCATTATTAATACCCTTTATACACAACTACTGTGCTAAATTTTGTTTCTTAATCATCACCCTATCCTGAGATACTACACAAAATTTCAGGAGGTCTCAAAATGCAGATTTGCAAAAAACTTTCAAATTTGACACAATTTGAATCAAACTTAATCAAATTTGACACAATTTCAACATTTTCCTGTGTTAAATACATGATAAGCTGGAAAAGTAAAACACCGTTTTTATTTATTATTCATCAATAAATCCTGTAATCTGTTACAAAGTTATAAATTTATTAAATTGTCCCTTAATAAACTTTCCAAATTTTATAAAATATTAACAAAGTTAAAAAAAAATTTAATAGTGCAACAAAATCACACTATCAAACTTATTAAAACAAAAATTGAAAAATGATAAATAGTAATGTTTTAAATTATGTTTGTTTGTCATTTTTTGCACTTGGTTTTCATTTTTAGATTGGTTTATTAATGCCTGCCCTCAAATTGAAGGTGTGAAAATTAATTGTGAAGGGCTCGGAAGGAATTAAAATACTGTACTTCAAAAAAGTTTTGTTGACATTAGACTGAGTTCTCAAATTTATAATATTGCATAACTAACATTTTTAAAACCTCAAAAGTAATGTAATAACATGAAGTTTTCAACATGAAACAAGAGAAAGAGGTTATGGGCATTTAAACATTAATTAATGAAGTAACATGTGACAGCTTGGCATCACAAAAATGTTGTTGCCCATAACGGCAGAAAAAGTGAGACACAGTGATATATTGCCAAAATAGTTCAGATAATATAACTAATTTAAAAGTAGTGAGAATAGTGATCCATTCCGAGACCTGCATTAGTTATCCAAAAAATGCTCAAAGAATGTTCTAAAAGTGTCATATCATTCAGAGATTTGAAGAAAATATAAAATATTAAATTCATGTATTTATTTCTCAATTGCTAAACTTTTGAACAATAATGTATTTTTATTTAAATGTAAAAAATTTTTAATTTTAGAAAGATTCTCTTGCAATTATTCAATATGTTAAAAATTCATTTTAATAAATTAAAATCTTACGTTGAATATGTACAGTTCCTGCAGGAAGCATGCTTGGCTGATAAAGATCAACATTTCCATATTCATTTCTTGGAACTTTACCATNTAGAAGAAATTTAAAATTAGTTTACAGCACCATCCATTATGAGATTTTGTTAAAAGACAACTTATATATTATATTAATAATTACAAAACTGCAAATAATTTAATTTTGAGGGTAGAGATGAGTTTTATATAAAATTATAAATGCTAATAATGAGTAAAATCTTCATGCAGTCCGATTCTACTCGAGTTATGACACGTGATCCCTTTTTACCTTCCCACTCCTTGATCTATAACAACAAAAATTTAATAGCATTATTAATACCCTTTATACACAACTACTGTGCTAAATTTTGTTTCTTAATCATCACCCTATCCTGAGATACTACACAAAATTTCAGGAGGTCTCAAAATGCAGATTTGCAAAAAACTTTCAAATTTGACACAATTTGAATCAAACTTAATCAAATTTGACACAATTTCAACATTTTCCTGTGTTAAATACATGATAAGCTGGAAAAGTAAAACACCGTTTTTATTTATTATTCATCAATAAATCCTGTAATCTGTTACAAAGTTATAAATTTATTAAATTGTCCCTTAATAAACTTTCCAAATTTTATAAAATATTAACAAAGTTAAAAAAAAATTTAATAGTGCAACAAAATCACACTATCAAACTTATTAAAACAAAAATTGAAAAATGATAAATAGTAATGTTTTAAATTATGTTTGTTTGTCATTTTTTGCACTTGGTTTTCATTTTTAGATTGGTTTATTAATGCCTGCCCTCAAATTGAAGGTGTGAAAATTAATTGTGAAGGGCTCGGAAGGAATTAAAATACTGTACTTCAAAAAAGTTTTGTTGACATTAGACTGAGTTCTCAAATTTATAATATTGCATAACTAACATTTTTAAAACCTCAAAAGTAATGTAATAACATGAAGTTTTCAACATGAAACAAGAGAAAGAGGTTATGGGCATTTAAACATTAATTAATGAAGTAACATGTGACAGCTTGGCATCACAAAAATGTTGTTGCCCATAACGGCAGAAAAAGTGAGACACAGTGATATATTGCCAAAATAGTTCAGATAATATAACTAATTTAAAAGTAGTGAGAATAGTGATCCATTCCGAGACCTGCATTAGTTATCCAAAAAATGCTCAAAGAATGTTCTAAAAGTGTCATATCATTCAGAGATTTGAAGAAAATATAAAATATTAAATTCATGTATTTATTTCTCAATTGCTAAACTTTTGAACAATAATGTATTTTTATTTAAATGTAAAAAATTTTTAATTTTAGAAAGATTCTCTTGCAATTATTCAATATGTTAAAAATTCATTTTAATAAAATTAAAATCTTACGTTGAATATGTACAGTTCCTGCAGGAAGCATGCTTGGCTGATAAAGATCAACATTTCCATATTCATTTCTTGGAACTTTACCATTTTCTGCAGGTGGTGAAACATACTTTTCTGTCTGCCAAATACCAAAAATTTCTAGAGGAAGATCATGATCTAATTCACCTTTCATCTAGTATAAATAAACAATAATTTTAATATTTATTTTCATATTACATCAACTGTTTGTATTTTATTGCACTTGATTTCTTTACTTTTATATAAATTAACAAATAATAACAATTTCAGATATAGTCAGATCTCATGATAACCATATAAGTCAGTCATTTTACAATAATTTTGCTGAATTACACTGATGCATCCAAAACACTCAAAATGGAAAGCTAATATACTTATAAATTATTAAAAATGTTTCCACTAACTTCCCTAACTATATGCTTCAGTGAAAAATCATTCTTATCTCTATTGTTTAAAACATTTTTTTGAAATACCATGACACACACAAATGCCAGTTATGCTACCTGTAACTCTGTCTGATCTTTGCAGAACTATTAAATAGTTTAACTTCCAGAATTATAATACTTCTGGTAGGAAAAGTCAGATGAAGGTCCAGGTAGGCCTCTGCATGGCGAGTGGCAGTTACACGTTTGAGTTCTACCAATTCTTTTTTTCCAGAACCTTCTTAATTAATTAATAAAATATTAATTTAATTTTAGCTATTAAATTTAATAAGAGATGGTGCTTAACACCTACATCTAGGCTACATTATTTAATGTTTAATTATCAATAGTAGTAGTAATATAACCTGATTTAATCCTGTAATTGCTTGGCTTTAATATAACTATTGGGCTTGGTGTTTATATTTATATTAATTATTAAATAACCATATTCATTTTCATACCTTATTCCATTTTGGTCTCGCTTTTACAATTTTATAAGGAACTTCTCCAATGCGCACAACTCTCGCCTGCTTTAACCAAGTCTCTCTTGAATGTAATGTATGTACGCATTCTCTGGCATAAATGGGTTCACCTCGAACAAACCCCAAAGATGGAGAATCTGGAGGATATATTGCTTGAAATTTCAGTAAGTGACGTTTCAAAACATACAGTGGGTGATCCTTGAATCTGAAACACAAAATTATAAGCTATATGTATAATTTAAATATAAAAAAACTTGACAAATTCTTAAAAATTCATTATATTTATCAGATGAAATGAAACATTCACACCAGATGACAAATAAATCTCACTATAAACCTATTCTAAATAATTTGATACTATTTTTATAAACATTTGGAGTGTTGTCCTGTTGGAATGTCCCTACCAACATAATATTTTTATACACATTATGTTGGAAGTATTTGGGTAGCAGATTTATTGAGTGTAAATAAATACGAGCTTGTAAATCATAATTTGTATATATCATGTATCAAATATATTAATTATACTTGTAATTTATATATTTGTTTAAATCATGAATTACAAATCATGCTTTACCATCATGAACAAACTCCATATCTAAAAATTTGAAAATTGTAAAAACAGGACCTTGTCACATTTTAATTTCTTAAAAACAACTACAGGGAGAAATTCCAGATCTAATGGAATAACATATTACAATACTATAGACTAAGCACTTTTTTATATTTTTTGTCCATCAAAAGACAAGAAACAAGGAATGAGTTTCAAGTGAAATGGGAATCTATAAAAAAAAAATTGAAAGATGGACCAATATTTCAAAAGGAATAAGACCATGCTTGACTTTTTGAGGAATGAAAAAGACAAAGTTAAAAGTGGAGAGAGCTGGTATAAATGTAAGTTGATGTTAGTAATAAGAGGATAACCAGAGAGAGACTGTATAGGAACCACAAAGCAAAATAGATCAAAGAGATTCATGAGCACCAGTAAGGTTTATATAATTTAGTAACCACCACACTCAGTAAGGAAGCATATGATAGTGACATTAAAATATACTTTGAGCTTGGGTAATTTTAAAATGTTCAAGAGGAGCTGAAAAACTTAAATTTATGAGGGGAGCCTGAAGAATGAGATGATTACTCTTAGGGATGTCAACAGCCTTTCTTTAGGATGGAAATAATTAATCAAGAAGAAAAAACAGATCACCACAAATACAAATATTTCATTTATTTGGGTTTGTGCATGATTTAGATCATGACTGTTAAATTTTGAATTAAAATTTTATGAAATAAAATTTTATTTCATTATAATGTTAGTAAGGAATTACATAATTTTGTTCTTTTTGTTATGAACTCTGATGATGGACAAATAAATGTCCAAAAGCACTTAGTAGCATTGTAATGTATTACTCCATTAGAAGCAAATGTTTGATATCAGATTCATGCTTTACTGATTCTAAAATGCATCCTGGTATAAATTTATGGTTTATTTTATACATTTCTAGAAATATAAGTTTATATTTCAATTAAATATGTATAATAAATTTACTTACTTGTCAATTGTTTTAGGAAATGGTTGATCAAGCATCACTTGATCAAGCTGTTTATTTTCATTCTCATCTTGTTCAGAATTACGTAACATAAATGGCAACAAAGTTTTATTCCACCAATCTGAATCTATTCGTAATTTTCTAACATTAGTCATCCAATTTGATGCATATCTTTTTGTAACATCTTTAACGTAATTTTTATCATCAAAGGCTAAAACATATGTTATGGGCTGTCTAGCACGTGCTTCTAATTTGTATGGTTTGTCAATAATGTTATTTACACAATCCACACAAATCCATCTATCTTCACTTTTTGAATATATTTCTAACCAATATTCTATGCCATTGTATTTTGAAATAACTTTAATATCGTCATCAGAATCTATTGTTTTTGTATGTGGCATCTTTGTTTTTGAGGATTTTTTTGACGAGCTCGACTCATTTGTTTCTGATCTATCACAGGATTTTCTAACTTTAGTGGACGTTCTTGATCTTTTTTCCTCTATAGAAAAATCGTCACTACTGCTCTCGCTACCATTATTATCAAGATCGCCATCACTATCTGTTTCTTTCATGCTTATCTTTTTATTTTTTCTAAGTGTATAAGTTCTTTGAGTATTAGTAGATTCAAAATCACTGTCACTATCAGATTCTTTTGGAACTTGTCTGCTTTTCTGTGATTTAGTTTTATTTCTTGTATTTTTTGGACTTTTTTCTGTTTTTATATCAGACTTAACACTAACATTTTTATTTTCAGCTAATTTTTTATTCCTGTTTCTACAAGATTTTGGCTTATTTTCATTTTCATTGTTGCTTTCTTTACATTCTGAGTTCTTAGTATTCAGTTTATTTTTATTTTGCAAAAGATTATCTGATTTAATTGGAAGAGGATAAAGTGACAAGCAAAGTCTCCCTTCCAATCCCAAAGAACGAATTAACAATAAAAATATCATATTATAATCTCTCCTGCTAGTAATTTTGCTTTTTTCAATAGCATTTTCAATGCTAACTCTGATATTTTTAGCTGAAGTTTCAAAACTGAAGTCATAATCAAAATATTCTTTATACCATTCAACAGTTTTGGAAATATCACTTTTATCAGCTTTACTATTTACATTAAAATCAATAGGAATATGTGAAAATATCAATGCTAACATATTTTTATTTAAAAGTAAACGATTTATATAAAATCCGTGAGCGAGAAGGCATAAGAGATGCACTTTATGCAGTTCTATTTGTATGTTCTTCCTAAAACGATTCACTCCTCTACGAATGACATCGATAAACTCAATTTCTTTCTTCTTTCTTTTCCGATATTTCCAAGAATCTGAGACATTTAATGTGATTTCTACACCTTCTTTGGGTATATCTGGTTTATAATCATCTAAATCCATCTCATTTTCTGCTTCTTCCACTTCTTCCCATTCACTTTCAGAAGATTCACTTTCTTTATCCTCTCTCTCTTTACTGATTTCATCATTGTTTTGACTGTTAGAACTAACTAATGTCTTCATTTTGACATTATTTTTAGAATTACTGATAGGACATTTTTTATTTTTAACATTTTTTCTTTTATTCTTTGGTAAATTGAAATCGTCAATGCTGTTATTTTCATCTCTTTCCACTTGTTCTTGTTTTTCTTGAGGTATATCTACTTGGTCTAAACCATCTCTGCCATCCTCCTCAGTAATTTTTAATTTTTGTTTGGTTTTTTTATGGTTGTTTGGTTTTTCTAGTAAACTTGCTTTGGCTTCAAGAGCTTTCTTTTTCTTTGTGTTAGAATTAGAATCAGAAGCTTTCTTTTTTTTAGTTTCTTTAACTTGTTCTTTTTTATTTTGAATTATAGTTGCATCTCTTCTCGGAGTGTTACTTTTACGTGTTTTAGGACTTTCTGACACATTCTTTTTAGTTTTTCTTTGATTTTTGTGTAATGTTTTATCATTATCATCATTTCCAACAATGATTTTTGTTGTTTTGGCAGTTTCCAATGTTTTAACAGGGGTTTTACATTTGGATTTAACGTTATTAGCATGTGAATTTACATCACGATCAACTATTTCAGAAACATCCTCTGTAGCTTTTCTCTTTCTTCTCATCTTTTCTATACTAATATTTCAAAAATAAAAAATAAACATTATAAAAAAGTAATGGAAAAGTTTAACAAAATTAATATTTGCATATTATTATTATTATTATAGTATATAACAGGTGGCCAAAACTTGTCAAGATATCAGCCTTATATTAGCATATATAGCCTTGCCTATCAGAAATATGCAAGAGCTGCATTCTCTATTGGAATGATATTTTATATACTTTATGTAGTTAAAGTATTATAGTTATCACAGTTCTATAGTTAATAGCATTGTTAATTTACTTTATTGATATTCTATAATTGGCTACGTTAATTTAACACCCTCAACTTTACACACATACTCTTAGATTTAGTTGCCTTCACAAGAGTAAGTTTATAGTGACACAATCGGTGTGTATCACACTAGCAGCAAACTTACAAAAATATTACATGTATGTAAGTAGAATGTACAAAGTTTATAAAAAGAAGTAAGAGTCTAAAAGAGCCACAGTTTGGCCATCTTAAGTGTACATCAACATAACCAAAGCCAGCCAATGCAATATGCTATCGAGCTAAATAACAGCTATAATATTAACCTGATATTAATCTGGTTAGTTAGCCTGATAGCATACGGCAGTGGTTAGCTTTGGTAATACAATATATCAGGTTTTAGTAGAGTTGTTTCTTTACACCAACAACCAACAGTTCAAAATGAATAAATCTCAATATCATGAAGATTCATGAAACTTGGCACCATTATAAAAATCTATCTGAAGTATATACCGATTATTTTATTTTACTTATTTATAAGCAAATTATAATATGAAAATTACAAAATTTGTAGTTATAATTACTAAACACTTATGTTTACAGACTCCATTAAATTAGTTTAAATTATATTAAAAAAAAAACAAACAAAACTATAAATAAATATTGAAAAATATAAATTAGAAAGGTACTTTTTAAAAAAAAAAAAAATAATAACATTTGTTGTATTGGGGAAGCTATATTGTCCTGGTAATATTGCCTTTGTATTAATTTAAAAATAAAAAAAATATTTCAAGGAAAATGAAAACTACTTCTGCTTCAAAAAAATTCATGCTCTTCATTGTCAAATTTATATGTAAAAAATTATTATATAAGTCTACATGTACATTACTTGACTAGTTTTTATAGATGAATGAAAAAATTCAAAGTTCTTCAAGTGCCAAGGTCAGTCAGTGGTTAATATTACATTTTCAAGGTCTACATATAATCTCCACTGTAATAAGAAAAAGTTAATTTATATACACATTGTTTCATTTATATAACTAAGCTTGTTATATTAATAAAAAAAAGTAAATTGATTATACAACAATTTAACTTAGTAATAAAATTTTGATTTATAAGCAGAAAAATCATTTTTCCTTCATATAGTCCTGTAAAAATCATTTATTTAGAGTTAATTATGATTAATCAATTAATTTTTTTAATTAATTATGAAGCAATATAATTAATTATTTGCTTTAAAATAAATTTAATAAATTACAATCCTAACATTAAACAATTTTTAATGCAAAATAATAAGAAACTTTTTAGTATTTCTGACAATCTTTCTCTTTGATTAAATACTTAAATGTTTATTTTAAGCAAAACAAATTTAACATTTTGGAATTGAACTTAATAATAACAACAATATCAATGGAAAGAGACTGAAATAATATAATAAAATACCAAATGCTATTCATTTTATCAAAATTTTAAAGATAATATATAAAAAAAAAAATGTTTACTATTAATCAAACTTTGTAGATAAAAAATACTTCAACTCTCTCTTAACATGATAATAAATAACATTTATCAATATTAAATGTAATTGATTCACAACAAATTTTCTTGAACCCATTTGCTTTATAGTCTGCAAAAGCATTGTTGTTTCTATTTCTTTTCAGAATAAATATTACTTTCTGACTGGTTTCCAATATCAAATATTTAAAATAAAAATACATAGAAACATTGAGGCCACTCTGTATGCTAAATGCTATCTGTCTACTCTCCTCTTTGTCACACATTTTAATTTTACCTCATACTCTTCTGGTCATCTTCCATATTGACAGTTGGAAGATAATACAGCCATTTTAAAGAATGGCTAAGCAATTAAGGCTTTAGACTATCATTCTGGCGGACCTGGGAAAGGTCCACGAGTCAAAAACAACCAGAATTTTTTGATGAGTGGTTCATGTTGGATATGTTAGTTCCTCTCTCACCATCTGTTGTCCCATTATGGGCCTGGCTGAACCTGTAACAAGCTTGATAGAAAAGTTCTCTTAGTGCCCACAGGACAGAGTCAAAAATGAATAAATAAAAGCCATTCAATTGTTGTGAGGTGGATATGAAAAATTTTATTTTACAATGTTTCAAAATGAATCCATGCCAAATTTATAATCTATTGAATTCATTGCTGAAATATTCTCTAANGGTTTCCAATATCAAATATTTAAAATAAAAATACATAGAAACACTCTGTATGCTAAACGCTATCTGTCTACTCTACTCTTTGTCACACATTTTAATTTTACCTCATACTCTTCTGGACATCTTCCATATTGACAGTTGGAAGTTAATACAGCCATTTTAAAGAATGGCTAAGCAATTAAGGCGTTAGACTAGGCCTATTGTTCTGGAGGATCTGGGAACAGGTCCACGAGTCGAAAACAACCAGAATTTTTTGATGAGTGGTTCATGTTGGATATGTTAGTTCCTCTCTCACCATCTGTTGTCCCATTATGGGCCTGGCTGAAACCGTAACAGGCTTGATAGAAAAGTTCTCTTAGTGTCCACAGGACAGAGTCAAAAATGAATAAATAAAAGCCATTCAATTGTTGTGAGGTGGATATGAAAAATTTTATTTTACAATGTTTCAAAATGAATTGTCATATCTTAAATCTATGACAATGGATTTTTGAAAAGACTATTCTGAATCCATACCAAATTTATAATCTATTGAATTCATTGCTGAAATATTCTCTAACTAGATGATCCAAAACACATTGTCATGCATACAGATTGTGACAACTCTATCNATTGTTAATTTACTTTATTGATATTCTATAATTGGCTACGTTAATTTAACACCCTCAACTTTACACACATACTCTTAGATTTAGTTGCCTTCACAAGAGTAAGTTTATAGTGACACAATCGGTGTGTATCACACTAGCAGCAAACTTACAAAAATATTACTTATGCATAAGTATGTACCAAGTTTATAAAAAAAATTGTATAAATATATATCAGAAACTAAATTTCAGGAAAACTGTCAGTTTGTGCTATAAAGTAGATCAAAAAAATTAGAATTTAAAAGGTACATACATTGCTGTATTATTGCGTCACAGAATGTTTTAAACTTGAAATATGCTAATTGATATTATAATAGGGCCTTAGTCTCTAGCATAATAATATGCCAACTGATATTATACTAGGGACAAAGGCCCTGGTATAATATCAATTAGCATATTTCAATTTTAAAACATTTGGTGACTTTAAAAATGCAGCATTATGCAAAATTGTACATTTGAGAAAACTCCTAATTATCTGATAAATCATGTTAAAAATAAATTTTATCTAATTCTTTTAGAACCGTCATAATTACCCTTCACACCTGCCTTCAAATTAAGGGCAGGTGAAAAGAATACTGTAATTACAAGGGCAGATGTTAATAAACTAATCTGAAAATAAAAATAAAAAATAAAAAGTGCAAAAAATAACAATAAATAAATTGAAATTTCCATTTTTAATAACTTGATTGTATGAGAAAAATTAATTTCTGATTAAGTTTTTTCCAGTTTATTAATAATTATCTAAAATTTGTAAAATTTATTAAGAGCAAATTTAATAAATTTATATTTGTTTAACAGATTACTCTACTGTATTGTCAATAAAAAGCAAATGCAATGCTGTATTAATTTCTTTGTTAATCAAACTTTCTTGAAATCTTACATCTGAATGAACCATAGTTGTTAGTCCCACCAAATAAATAAACTAAATTTTTTGGACTGTGAGTAGACCATAATATTGACAACAGAAAAACGACATGTATTTCTACAACCTCTAAAATTTCTGTCACTCCCTCGGGAAAGGCAATAGAGGAGTCCTCTTTCATTTTGAAAACACAGATTTTAGCCCATATTTATTAACATACTCTATTCACACCAGAATCAGATAGCGCAGAGAGACAGATGACAGTAAAACAATTATCCAAACCATCCATTCAGTTTGACTTCCAAATCTGCATCCGATCTGGATCCTTGACATTCTGTAGTACTCAATAACTGTAGTACTGCATTTTTCCAAAATTAATAAGATTTTGGTGATAAAATTGAGAAATTGGCTATTTCCACTAAGTTAAGGAAAAAGAGTAGAAGTTTATTTTATATCTTGTATATCGTTTAGGAGGGCTCAATTCAAGCTCCGAACGACGCAGTTGGGGCCTTATCAGAGCCGTAGAGCATATCCATAGGAGCAAGAATGTCGAAGGAACCATACCTTTACAAGCAACCCCCAAAATCAGTCGGTGCGAGATCACGAGTCGCAATGCTCCGCTAAGACCGTTACGTTTAACTATTTAGCCAAGCGACTATGCCGGCTTCGAGTATCCCACTCGACCGTTCACGGAGTACTCGATGTTATATAGTTTAAGGAAGGAGGGGTTTGGGGCTCGCTGCACCTGGTGCCAAAGTGCTGGCTATCACTCGCACCAAAGCACGCAACTACATGTGGAGTGTCAGTCCAGGCAAGCAATAACCAGCCTTGACGACACAGAGCACGGAGAGTAACCAATACATGTTAAAAACTGATCTTTGGAGGCGAATATGTCGCGAGAAGTGACATGTACAGTTACGGTTCCTTTGACTTCTTTGCTCCTATAGGTATGCTCTACAACTCTGATAAGTTTCCAAACGTCTCATTCAAAGTCCTATAAAATATTACATGAATGATATAGTTATACCAATACAGAATAAGTTTTTCAATAAATAATTATAACATAAAAAGATTTATTACATTACCTTTCAACGTTTCATCAAACCGCGCCGAAAGACAAGTCGCTACAAACTAAACTTCATACAACACTTATTCAATAAGCCGCTTCTTTAAACATTACGCCATCTATCGTCTAATTATCAATAAAAGTATCTAAAAGTATAGAGAAATTGATATATAAACAATTTACGGTCGTAATTTATGTACTTTCAATATTTAAGATATTTTTCATAAAAAAATATAATGAATATTTAAACTTTACATCAGGAAAATTTTTACAAAAAATTACTAGCGTCCTCTATAGTAATTTTTTTGTAGTCTCGTAATGTTACGTAATGCTGGGTTTTTGCGTAAAATGGAGTTAGAACACTCTGATTCTGGGGAATCGAAATGGCTAAACACAACTTTAATAGAAAGTTTTTTTTTTTAGTTTACAATACTCAGCGCACCTTCCATTAGAAAGTGCCGTGTATTTCATATTTTTCAGCTTACAGCTGCGATGTTTATTAGAAGAGCTTACTGTCATGACCGTAAAAAGTAGCGTCAGAGAGAACACGTGTCCAGAGAGGTAAGATAATGACACGCCAAAATTCAAAAATTCTTTTAAGAACATTTTCCTCAATTCTTGTGTAAATGCTTAACACCGGTATAATTGTCCTGTTAATGATTAATTAATGTCAACGTTGACAAATATATAATAAGTAATTAAATACGGACAGTAAGGCAATAATAATTAAGCTGGTTAGCCTCTAAGACGGAAGGATTCATGATTGCCACACAGGATCAGGTCATAAATACTAAAAACTACAGAAAACACATACTCAAAGATACAACACTCACAAATGACACATGCAGAAAATACCACATCATGCCAGAAACTATACAAAAAATCACTTCTGGTTGCAAGCTCTTGGCACAGAGAGATTATTTACATAGACATAATCAAGTAGCAAATATAATACATCAAGAGATTGCAAAAAGCACAAATTATTAGACATCCACGAACCATATTACAAATACATGCCACAGACAATATTGGAAAACAACACGCACAAAATGTACTAACAAGGAGAGCCTACGGCGTTGGGGTAACGGATTTTGATTATCTTTGGTGTAGAGGTAGTACACCATGTGAGTGTACTACCTGTAAAATACTAAAGTGCAATACTCAAATATAATCGAGAAAATCGAACTTAAAGTTTTGTTAGCACTTTATATATAAATTATACGTATTTCTATTCGAGCGTCCTGTGGCAGAGTGGTAACGAGTCTGATTCATAAGCTTGAGTTCTCGGGTTCGATTCTCGCGTATAATTTTTTTTTTAATTCATAAATACTTATAATGTATTTATTTATTTACTCATTCATTTATTTCTTATTATTTATTTATTTTAATTTAATTTCTACTATTCCAAGTCTAATATTTTTATACTTTTGTTGACAATAACGGCGCATTCTTGACACCTATGTGTCAACTTTCCCATCTAATTGTTATCACTAACGGTGACCGATCTAATTCTCACTAGGAGCGTTTTTTCTATCGGAGTTCTTTTTCACTCACTCTTTAACAGTTCGTTTCTAAATTTCGACACGAATAGACGTATTTGTGTAGTAAAACTTATTTTGAAAAATTATTTTATAATCGAAAAATGTCGTCAAGAGAAGCAAGTTCTTCACGTTGTGACGAAAAAACTGTTGATGATACCTTTTAAAAAAGCAGCATTTATTTGTTGTTCTTGGTGTAGACAGAATTTTTGTTTTGAATGTTTTTATCATAAGTATCATTCACGATCATGTACATCTGACAATGATATGTAATTATATAATATTGCTTCAATAAATTATATTCGTTTTTCTTGGTTATATTTGAGTTTTGCACTTTACAAGTTAGTATTTTACATCACTGTATAAAGAGTTATCATCAACAGTTTTTTCGTCACAACGTGAAGAACTTGCTTCTCTTGACGACATTTTTTGATTATAAAATAATTTTTCAAAATAAGTTTTACTACACAAATACGTCTATTCGTGTCGAAATTTAGAAACGAACTGTTAAAGAGTGAGTGAAAAAGAACTCCGATAGAAAAAACGCTCCTAGTGAGAATTAGATCGGTCACCGTTAGTGATAACAATTAGATGGGAAAGTTGACACATAGGTGTCAAGAATGCGCCGTTATTGTCAACAAAAGTATAAAAATATTAGACTTGGAATAGTAGAAATTAAATTAAAATAAATAAATAATAAGAAATAAATGAATGAGTAAATAAATAAATACATTATAAGTATTTATGAATTAAAAAAAAAATCATACGCGAGAATCGAACCCGAGAACTCAAGCTTATGAATCACACTCGTTACCACTCTGCCAGAGGACGCTCGAATAGAAATCCGTATAATTTATATATAAAGTGCTAACAAAACTTTAAGTTCGATTTTCTCGATTATATTTGAGTATTGCACTTTAGTATTTTACAGGTAGTACCCTCACATCGTGTACTACCTCTACATCAAAGATCATCAAAATCCGTTACCCCAAAGCCGTAGGCTCTCCTTGTAAGACAGAGCCATAATCACATATAAAACAATTTACCACAACAGAATAGACATCACACTCATTGACAAACACAATAAAATCACATTATAGACATATCCATACCAAACACTCACAATATATAAAATACATGTACTGAAAAAATTAACAAGTACCAGGAAATAAGACATCTGTGGAGGATGGAAAGACTTGTACCTGATTAATAAAAAAATAGTTTTCCTTTTATGGACATTTCAAAGAGGAACTTTAATTATAAAGACCCTGTATTTAAACGTCATTTACGTGTTCATTTACATTTTTTATTTAACACTGCTCAGATGTAAAAGACCAAATATAATTTGATGAGAAGAGAGATTTTAAGTTACTATAACTGTTCCCCCCTAAACTGGGCGAGTTTATTTCACAAGTTTGAATTAGGTACACAGCAGGGTAGTAACGGTAGACACGTGAGTAAGGTTATTCGAGTCTTGGTTCGCCATTGTTTCCGGTCTTACAATTGAAACTTTTAGTAAGTATTTTTGATTTAAATATTCTGTAAATAATGATTTCTAGATTAATTGTATACGAAAATTTATTAATACCGTGAGAAAGTACATGTTATAATTATAAAACAGATAAATTTGATATTTTGTTCTATATCTAATCCGCTAATAAATCATATATGGCATTGTACAGTTTAGTAGGTACGGCTGTTTGAAAGGTTTTCTTCCATAAAATTAATCGATTCTAGACTAGTCCGACTCAACATTTCCAAAATACGTATATTTTTTTTTGGAAATAATCCGTATAAACTACGCTATAAACAAAAAATTGTAGGATCACTTACCGAGTGTGCACTATTCGACATCGCCATTGCTCAACATTGTTTTCGTCGCGGAACAGCTCAGCAAACCGCGGCCGATTTCTAATAACTTATTTTTCTGTGAAAACTTCGTACAACTTTGGAGACATCATTAATATAAATAATTTTAATCGCCGTTGAATAAGAAATGTTTCTTTCACAAGAAATGTATAAAATTACAGTACTGTATTAGACTTACGGTACCTAATTTACATACTGAAAAGACGATAGTTACCCTAAAATCTCCGTAGCGTGGCGCTACGCTAGACGGCGGA